ATGCGACGAACTTCCAGGTTACGTGACCAGTACAATGCGATATTTGAAGATGATGACTCGTGCAGGGCTCGCCGTGTACACGGCCGTGTCCCTACCTCATTAATGGTTACGCTTTTCGAGCTTCAGGATTGGATCGCTGCCAAGAGCTTGAAGATCCAATTCGAAAGAGCGGATGTGCAAACACATTATATGGAGAAGCTGCGGCTGTTTTATATTCCCGCAGACCCCCTTGTCATGGTCCTTCTTTGACGGATGCGGAATTGGCTTCCTGGGGTGCGTTTCTTGGATCTTGCGCGGGTTCCCAGATGCATCAAGCCTTTGGCGGCCCGAGCCAACATGTACCTTCCACTAGCTATCCTCCGCATGTTGACCATATACATTTGTACGAGCGCCCGGTTTTATTATGCCCCAGAGGTTGTATGATGGGTTGTCGCTCCGAGACTTGCGATCTATACGACATGAAACACTACCCGTCTTGTCCTCGTCTTCGGGCTCTTTTCAATTCTTGGATGGGGACGTGGACCCCGAGGTCTTCTGAGGGTGCGCCCTGGATGGCCTCCTGCCTCCTTTTTTCTTGGGATACGACCCGACCAGTGCCTGCTCGTTGCGATGTTACGGGATGCTTTCCTTAGTTCCCACCACGCCTTCCGCCTCCGTCTCCCTGGGAGCCCAGCGGAGCATTTCGAAGCGCGCCTCCAAGTTCAAGCGAGAAGGCCTCAAGCGTGTCGCAGGATTTGGGGCCTGCACCAGCTTGCCTTCTTCCGCCGATGTCTCTTAAGTCTGAAGGCTTCTTCAGCAGACGCAGTCAGCCAAGGGGTCGTTCAGTCAATGTTTGCCTTTACGTTTTGTGCATGCTCGCTCCTCCTTTTCTCCACTTCCTCTTCTTCCTCTTCTCCTCCTCCTTTTCCTTCCCCTGTCTCGTGGTGATCGCTCCCTGTTCGAACGGGGTCCAGGTTTCGAGTGCTAGGACTGGCATCTTTGGTGTGGGGCGCAGGCAGTGCTGTTGGCCCAGCTTCTCGCGCGCTGTGCTTTTCTCTCCGCTGTCGGCTTCCATCGGTTGGGATGGTTGCCGCGGGAGCGTGGTCGTTCATTCGTCTTCGCTGCCCGAGGCCCTGAGCATTCACAGGGGCCCCCGAGATTTCTTAGAGGGAGAAGAAAAACGGCCCAGGAGGGTTCCAAGAGGTCCCTGAGAGAGGTCACGCAAGATGTCTCGCGAGAGTGGTGTTTGTGCTGGTGCTGCTGTTCGTGGTGCTCTTGGTGTTGCTGCTGGTACTGGTGACGGGTGCCCGGTCGGGGACACCCTCCCAGATTCCCCCCTTTTTGGTCCACGACATGATTGTCCCCTTCCAGGGCCTCCCGGGCCTCCCCCCCGCCGGTCAAAACTGACCTCGAGGCCATCCGAACCCGACCACAGCGGCCTGACAGGGCCGACGCGACGACGCTGGAATAATTGTGTCAAGACGGGTCAGGGGGCCCCGATGAGGTCTTAAGAAGGCTCCAAAATGCGCCCCGAGAGGGCCGCAAGATGCCAAAATTGCTTCATCCCCGAAGAACGCGCACATGTTTATCATCTTCGCACGTTGGGTCTTAACAACGTCCAACAAAGGCCCAAGAGGCGCTACAGATCGCCCCCAGACGGCCCAGAAGGCCTCCGAAAGGGCCCCAGGACGGCCCAAGAGAGCCCCAAGACGGTCCAAGAGGCGTCCAAGACGGCCCCAAGAGGAGTCCAAAAGGGGCAACTCTAACTGAAATTTCGAGCCCTCCGCCACTAGTGGGCCCCCCATGCCGCAGCAGGGACCCAAGAGGCCCCCGAGGGGCCCAAAAGAGGCCCCGAGATGCCGCCACAGGGCCCACATGAGGCCAAAAGAAGCTTCAAAGCTCGCTCCACGAGGCGCCCGAATGAGCATGCCAAGAGATTTGGAATTGTTGGCATTCAAGAACTCTGTGTCCCAAAACTGAAGCACAGTAGCGGTACGAGCCGAAGGCCATAGATGGGCAACCCATTCGTATGGAGAAGGACCCACCCATATTCAGTCATGCGTAGTGCAGGGCGCTGGTCTCCTTTCATACACAGCGCGCCGCTGGGCCATGCGGAAAGATGGCTGCCGCGGGGCACGCGTGTGCGCTGAACTCCTTGTGGGGCACGGCCCGCGTGAAGGGCCGCGCGAACACGCCCACTGTGGCCGCAGGTGGACCTTCTCTGGGCACGCCCTGTGCGAGGCATGCTCCGAAATGGGCGCGGGGACGCCATGAGAATCTGCCTATTGATGCCATAGGTGGAGCTCCTTTTGGGGCATGATTCGCGTGACAGGTGTGCCGACATCGGCGGGGGGTGTTATACGATCCTTGTCTCTGGGCCTTTCGGTGTTGCTCCTTGTGGGCACGATCCGTGTTATGGCGTGTGCCGCAATGGCCAGGGGACGTGGGGGCGCAGTGCGAACCCTACCTCTGGCGTCGTGGGTGTAGATAGCTGTTGGCCACGATCCGTGTGAGAGGTGTGCCGCAGTAGGCGGGAGGGCGGGATACGAACCTTGTCTCTGTGGCCGTCAGTGGATTTATTTTCGGGCCACGATCCGTATGAGAGGTGTGCCGAAGTAAGCGGGGCGATGCTTTGCAGTTTCCCTCTGGCAGGTGCCGCACATGCATTCTCGTGTAGGGCGCGAGCCGCATGAGGGGCGTGCTACTGTGCGCACCTCGTCCCTGGGGACGTAGGTGGATCTCCCCGTGGAGCGCGATCCTTGTGAGAGGTGTGCCGGCATGCCTAAGCCAAGCTTGTCCCTCGGGACGCAGGTGGAGCAGTTCCTAAAGTTGCACGATCCGTGTGACAATCTATGTCTCGGATGTCGAACAGTTTAGACGACAACTAGACCTTGCTAGAACCTGAGCGCGCGCGAAGCGCTCGCGTGGTTCTAGCTGAGGTTGTGTCCAAAAACATCTCTCGCATCTCCCATCTCGAAGTGCCTATTGACGTTTGCCGCGGGATGCTGATATGACTGGCTATGTTGCGCTCATCTCTATGATGTCCCACCAGTTCGACGGTACACCGCTCCAATTCGTTATTCTTTAACTGATGCGCTCGTCGCATCTACGTAGCATTGAACGGATATCTCCTGTACACAGAATGGTACATGCCATAGTCCTTTCATGCCTCTGTTACTAGAGTAGATTGTATCGCATGCCCATTTCCCTTCACATCGTAGCGTTCCCTCGCCTGCACGTCTGTGTTCTATATAGGGGCCTTCGGCCCATCCCACGACCGTGCCTAGGTTGTAAGTCAGAGGACGCTTGGATGCCTGCGATGGTCTCGTGGGAGACCTCTCGGAAGTCTCTTGGGGGCGGGTTCGGGGGTGTCTTGGAGCTTCTCGTCGCTTTAAGGGGGCACCCTAGGGTCCGATGTTGGTTTCTTATGGACCCAGGGGGGTTTGGGGGGCCCATTGGGGGCCTGCTGGCGGTCTCGGGGGGGGGCGCAGAGCGCGAAATGTCAGTTCGAGTTCCTCCGCCTTCTGCCAACACGGGCGACAGAAGAGGTCATGGAATGGGATGACGACATCGTTTCATGCTATGCACTCGGATAGGACTTGACACTGGTGGGACTCGGGGATGGTATTCCCTACGATATACGCGTTGCTTTATTCACTATGGCAATTACTCTGGAGCGCACCGACTCCTCGTCTTGTCCCTCCGACTCGGGCTTCTACCATCAGGTTCTCCTAGCGTCTATCCTTCCGACCGTTGCTGTTGCTGTCTCTCCGACTCTGGTTCCTACGCTTCTACCCCCACGTCTCCGACTCCGATTCCTGCTTATCGTAGGGCTGGACCCGCTGGACCGACGTCGCGCGCTCGCCCCGCCTCGCCTCTTGGGGTCCTCTTGGGGCCCTCTTGGGTCTCTCCTGGGGCCTCTTGAGCCGTCTTGGGCCCCTCTTGGGCCGTCTGGGGGCCTTATTGGGCCATCTTCGGGCGATCTTGCAGGCCTCTTGGGCCGTCTTGGAGCGGCGGAAGCCCGAAGCGGCGAGACGGCTAAAATCTTTCAAACTACCTAAGGGAAATCAATGATATTGGCCTCTCGGGACAAGGGTGGAGGCCTCTTGAAGCCCTCTTGGGGCTTCTTGGGAGACTCTGGGGGGTTGTCAGCAGGGCATCGTGGGCAGTCGTGGGGCTCTCTTCGTCTTGGGGCGCTCTTGGATCCTCTTGGGCACTTCTAAGGAAACCTTTCTGAGGTTCTCCGGATCGTTTTGGGCAGGGTCACCGTCCCGGAGGCCCACGCGAAACCCCGTTCCTTCACGTCGTATCGTTCCCTCGCCTACAAGGTCTGTCTCCTATGTCCTCTCCTCATTCCTGCTCCGTTCAGAAACAGTTGATTCCCCAAAAAGTGCTTGCACTCAAGGGTTCTTACTTCTCATCCTTCAGAGATTGCATGGGTCAGCCGAGGATTCGCCTGGTGCCTCGCAGGTGGACGAAGAACAGAGGAGGACGAGGAAGAAGATGCGAGAGGAGGTAGAGAGGAGGAAGGAGGGAGGAGGGCGTGGACCCAGGCATCCAGCGCTTCCCTGGGCCCCTGGAGGTGTGCACCCATTCCCGAGGGCTGGCTGTTCGTCCTGAGCCGTTTTTGGCGGTCCCGGGGCCCGCGGAAGGCCTCCGGAGGCAGAACGCAGCCAAAAGACAGCAAGTTTTGGAGGAGGGGGGGGGAGAGGATCCACAGAGGGGACGCGCCGCCAGGGCAGAATGCCCAACATTGCCAGACTACGGTCTGGAACTCTTGGGTGGCGTGTCGCTCTGCCAGTTCTGGCCCACCGCTCCTCGGCGCGACGGGCTATGCACGCCGCCACGCCAAGCTTTTTCCTGCCTGACGCCCCGCAGGTCGGAGCGACAAGCTATCCGCTCGCACGGCACGGGGTGTCGCCGGGGCCGCCGCGGCGACGCGCGAAGCAAGAGTTCCCGGCCGTAGCCGGCTTCGTCGTGCCAGGCGCGTGGCAGGCACCGGGAGGGGCGCCCGCTCGCAGGCCTCCCGCCTGCTGGAGATGATGGGCTTCGCTCCGCGCTGCCGGGAGGACGGCCGCAGACGTTGGCCAGCCATTGGGCGGCGAGGGAGACGGTCGGGCGGTTCGTATTAGGGGGGGGGGCGTCGGGGATCGAGAGCTGCAGCCGAACAAGACCGCCATAGATTTGAAGCTTCCGGAGTTCCGCGCGGATCTCTTGGATCCTGCGAGGAGGGTCCGGCGCAGATCCAAGGATTTCCCGAGTAGATCCGAAAGTTTACGTATGCTTACGCAGTTCTCTGTTCCTCTGTGCAAGAAAGGGGCCCCAAAGGGCCCTTTTATGAAAGACAGGCGCACCGTTCCTTGCCCCCCCGTTGACTGCCCCCCCACTGAGCCACGCCTGAGATGGAAAGCCGTGTCAGACGGGGGGGGAGGGCAGAGGAGGGGAGGATGAGCAGCCACATCACCAGGACCAGGACACAGGGAAAGATGCCGACGCCGCTGGCCCTTCCCTCCGTCGCTGCTGCTGGACTCGCCCCGAGATCCTGGCGAGAGCGCGCCCCAGGATACAGCCGGCCCGAATTATAACATCGATGTCGGTTCGGGAAGGGTACCTTGTTGTTCTTCGTGTTTGTTAGATGCTCTTGTACATCCTGGGGAGGGTACCCTTGGATGTTCTGTGTGTTTTGGCTGGCGGATCGTCTCGTGTTCTTGAGGAATGTCCTTCTGTCGAGTAGCGGCATCGGGATTTGGAGAAGCGGCATCTGGACCGTGTGTGTAGCGGCATCGGGACCTGGAGTGGCGGCATCGGGTTCTGGAGTGGCGGCATCGGGACCTGCAGGTTGGATTGTGGGTCCGTGGAGAAGCGGCCCTCGGGGCCCGTCCGATGCCCCAGGACGCGGGGGCGGGGGGCAGAGAGAGGGAGGGAGGCAGGAGCAGCACCGCGGGCACCCCGGGCAGGCAGCGGATCGGGGGCAGGAGCAGGAAGCACGATGGGGGAGGGAGGAGCAGAAGGAGGGAGGAGGAGAGGGAGGAGGGAGGAGGGAGGAGGCAGGGAGAAGAGAACAGAAGGTCTTGCGGGTGCAAGGGGTGCACTCCGTTGCTCTGGGCCCTGGACCCAACAAGCGACCCGCTGAACCATGCCACGGCCGCCGTTCATTGCTCCTGCCATGGATGGTGGCATGACACGCTGGGCACAACTCATATCCTGCGTGTCGCCCGTCGCCCCCGCACGGAGCTGAACGCACTGCACAGAGCTGTCAACGTAATTGGTGGCAAGATCATTGCAGGAAGAATGCGGATAGCACGCCGCTCGCAGATCTGAAACGCAGAAGGCTACCCTGGGCCAGAGGACGATTTGTCCTCCACGCAGTGGTTTTTTCTTACTCGATACCGCTCGGATGCGTGCAATCTTTCTCGGCGAGGGCCATCGAGGAGCACCTTGGGCCATCTCGCGAACACGACCACGCACGAAGCCGAAACGTGCCCGGGGGGGAATGGACGCCCCAGCCATGGCGAGCCTATAGGTGCTCTCCCTTGTCCTCTCGATGCTCGGATGGGTCAAGGGCTCCCACGAGGGCGCGAAGTTATTCGCGCTTCGCGCTTCGCGGTCCTCGTTCCTTCTCCCCCTCCTCCTCGTCCTCCTATTCTCCCTTTGGGAGGGCGGCGCGAGAGCGCGAAGTTATTCGCGCTTCGCGCTTCGCGCAGCGCGAAGCGCGAAGTTGGGAGCCCTAGCTATAGGTGCTCTCCCTCGTCCTCTCGATGCTCGCATGGGTCGGGCGCCGGTTCGGCCCGGTGCACCAGCGGGTGGGCCGCCCGAGGGCAGGCGCCCCGTGGGCGCCGCGTGCGGTGCGCGGGGCAGGGCGGGGGGTCGCTCGGTGCCCGCCCGTGGGCGCTCTACGGCGCCCGCCTGCGGCGCGCTGGCCAGCGACAAGGTTCGGGGGAGCGTAAGACCCGGGTTTGCTGGGACTCGGGTTCGCCATCGTTTTTTGACGACCGCGCCTCGGATTTTGACGAGGAGGAGTTTCGTGGGATGTCTGCAGCGGGAGGCCTCGTCAAAATGCAGGCTCGGCCTCGTCATTTTTTTGACGACCTCGTCGCGGATTTCCGAGTCCCCCGTACCCGGGTCTTACGTCTCCCCGAAAGGTGCAGGTCGGGGGCCCGGTGGTGCACCACGTCGTGCACACGGCCTGTGCAACGGCTCTCTGTGCATGGTGCAAGCGTAGGCTTCACGATCTGTTCTGCACAAGCTTGCGTGCATCGCACTGCCTGTTATGATCGGGTGCACATACGTTTGTGTGTATACATATGTATATCCCCACTATGCATACATGAATATATATATATACATATACATATATATATATATATACATATACCTATACGACCACCCTTCGGGTGACAAGGAGGTTCGGGGGGGGGGAGGAACCAACGTCTCACTCGATCGGTCTCACTATCGATCTCACTATCGATCTCACACTCGGTCTCACATTCGGTCTTACTATCGATCTCACTATCGATATCACAATCGATCGCATATTCGGTCTCAGTACCGATCTCACAATCGATCTCACTATCGATATCACAATCGACCTCACTAATGATCTCGCAATGGAAATCACAACCGATCTCACTATCGATCACACAATCGATCTTACTAATGATCTCGCAATGGATCTCACTTTCGGTCTCACTATCGATATCACAAGCCCACGTTCGGTCTTACAATCGATCTCACTATCGATATCACAATCGATCTCACAATCGATCTCACATTCGGTCTCACTATCCATCTCACAATCGATCTCACACTCGGTCTCAGTATCGATCTCACAATCGATATCGGTATCGATCTCACTGATGATCTCGCAATGGATCTCACAATCGATCTCACTATCGATCTCACTATCGATCTCACTAATGATCTCGCAATGTATCTCACATTCGGTCTCACTATCGATCTCACAATCGATCTCACAATCGATCTCACTATCGATCATCATCATTATCACCATCATCATCATCATCATCATCACCATCATCATCAGAATCATCATCATAATCATCATCAACATCATCATCGGGACACCGACGGGACACGGACGGGACACCGGCGGGACACCGGCGGGACACCGCGGGGCCCCGGCCGCCCGGAAGGGATCATTTGGTCCGGCCGCGCCTCAGCCACACGGAACCAGCGGGACACCGGCGGGACACCGCGGGGCCCCGGCCGCCCGGAAGGGAATCATTTGGTCCGGCCGCGCCTCAGCCACAGGAGACTTTCTCTCGCCCGCCCACGCAGCTTCGCCTCGCCCGCACGGCACGCACGAACACGAAACCGAAATCGATTTCCCGGTAGGGGGGCTCTCCGTTCCACTTCGATCTCACCCCCTCACCTCCGATATATATATATATATATATTATATATATGTATACACACGGATGTAGCCATCGTCATACAAGTTGTGTACATGTGTGTGTGCAGATGTGTACCGCCACATAGGTCGCAGAACATAGCCTGCACCACGTAGCGCGCACCACACACATGACCTCGCTCACAAGGCGTCACTAGTATGGTTATGTTTATATGTATGTGTGTGTGTTGCACTGCGTGGTTCGCACTGCATTGAGCGCACACGCGCGCGCACACACAATCACACACACACACACGCACACACGCATACGCACAGCGTGTCATAGATCGCTGCTTTGTGTCCGCGCTGGCGAACATCATGGGTTCATGGCTCCTCCGTCCCGACAGCGGGATCCTGGGGCCGCGCTTGATTTGACAACGACTGGGCTCGCCGTCCTGTGGGACTCCCTCGTCGCCGCGGCTATTTCCCCTTTTCGAAGGCTTCTGGGCCTGCCGCTCGAGGAGTGGCCTGCTGTGCACCCTGCTGCCAGCATAACTTATCAGGCAGCGGCGGAGCGCGTGGTCCCCTTCACAGCAGCCCAGTTCTAGAGTGGTCCACTTCGCAGTGGCACTCTGCTCTGGCCGAAACAGAGGGTGGCAGCAGCAGCAGCAGGAGGAGCGCGAGGTCCACCTCGCAGCGGCGGGCGTGGACCCGCTTCCCCTGTGCTGCGCCCCGTCGCGCGTGGTCTCTGAGAGCTGGCGGCTCTTCGATTCGCTCACACCGGCCGTCGCCGAGCGATCCGGCTTGAAATCGGGAGCGGAAAAGAGGGGGGTGATGACTGGGGGGGGGGGTGGATATCATGGCGGGGGCCATGATATCTCCCCAGAATTCATGGCGCCTCCTCTTATTTCATTACGTCCCTGGCCCCCCCCGCTGGGCCGCGCACATGCCGCCGGCCATGATTTGCACCCCCCCCTCTTGGACACCCCCCTCTTGGCCGCTCCCGATGAAAAGTGCAGGAGGAAGGTCAGAGCCCCGAATCATCGGGGGTAACTCGGGTCGGGGCTAATTCGGGTTCGTCTTCTCGGGATTCCGAACCCGAGTTACCCCAGACCCGAGTCAGCCCGGCGTCCAAAGGCCCCGAATCATCGGGGGCAACGCGGGTCAGACCTAATTCGGGTTCGTTTCTAGGGAATCCAATCCCGAGTTACCCCGCGCCCGAGTTACCCCGGATGATTCGGGCGCCCAATAAGGCAGGTCTGGGGTTAAGTCGAGCATGTCTCTTTACAGGAGGAATGGTCAATCATCGAAAGTCGGGGGACAATGTTCGAAGTAGTTGTGTTTTTTTCCTCTTCATGTTTCGACATATGTTTGATTTCTCTTGCAAAATCCGCCTGTAATTAGGGGGACATGCCCGACCGAAGTCTGGGCTTTGGTTGCGCCTGGCGCCGGCGGAGGCCTGCGGGGCCTGGGGTCGTGGGAGCGGCGCGGCGCGCGCCGTCATACAGGTGAGAACTGTCGGTTGCGAGTCGAAGGTTGGCGGCGAGCGAGGGTTCGCAGCGCGCACAGGGGAGTAGGGGGAGGGGGGGAGGGGGGGAAGGCTTCTTAGAAGCAGGCTGCTCCTTAGAAGGCGTCAGCCCTACTTCTGTAGACAGGGCCCGCGCCGTCTAAGAAGCTGCCTCCTTCTTAGAAGCCTTCCCCCCTCATCCTACCCCCCTGCGCGCGCCGCCAAGAGGGGGAGAAGTGAGAAGGCGAAGGCCTTCTCAGAAGGCGGCGGGACTTCTCAGAAGCCCTTTCGCCTTCAGAGAAGGTTTCAGTGTCATCAGGGGAAGGCCTGGAACACTGCTCAGCAGGCAGGGGGACTTCCGAGCCTTCTGAGAAGGCCCGCCCCCTCTGCTGGCGGTGTTCGGATTATCACTCGGCCTCCAGCGGCCGTTCGGGACGATCCGGGCACCCCCGAGGCGCAGTTGCTGGATCGCATCCCCAAGCTGGACAACCGCCGAAGACCGACGACGACGCCCGGAAACCTCGAACCCCGAGCCCGAGGCTCCCGAAGCTCACCTCGCCGAGATTTGTCCCGACTGCCAGCGCCGCCAGCACCAGCAGGGCACGGGCGGCGAGGCGCCTCTGGCGCGGGCCGTGGCCGCCGCCGAGCCCTGGCCGGCCAGGACCAGCGCCGCCTCAAGCGGCTGCTGGGGGAGGTGGATGCGGACAACTCAGGCCGGTGCCGCACGTCCGCCGCGGGGCGGGCTGGCCGGTGGAGCAGGAGGAGGGGGAGGCAGGGAGATGAGGGCGAGGAGCGGGAGCAGGACGGGTTGGGCGATAAGGGACAGGGAGGAGGAGGAGGAGGAGGAGGAAAAGGAGGAAAAGGAGGAAAAGGAGGAAAAGGAGAAGAAACCAGTGGTTGCAGGACGCGGACGCTCCGGTTTTCTTTGGAGTTGTTTTGGTCCTGTTTGTTTGCGCGCGGGTGCCGCCTCGCGCGCCCCCCGCGGCCCCACCGCGTGAGTGCGCTTTCCTCCTCCTGTCTCTGCGGCCGGCTCTCTTCTGTTCCTCGTCCTCTTGCAGGCGGGGCAATTCGCAATGCCGTAGCCCGGATTGCTCGGACGCGCGAGCGGATCGCCTCTGCCGCGACATATCGGAACAAGTTTACAGGGGGGGTGTTCGAGATTGCTTGGTTTTGCTGCGTTGCACTAGCCTTCCTCGGCGGGGTGTCTCGGCCTCCTTTCTTTACAGTGGCGGTCCCCGTGTCTGCTCGTCGTGTTCTCGGAGTTGTTCGATCGTGTTCCTGTGCAGTTGCGTTCCCCCGGACTGACTTGCCGTGTTTTTCGTGTTTAGCATTGCCATTCCTCGGACAAGCAACGCCAAGCAATACCAAGCTACACCGAGCAATGCCACGCTGTCAGGCTATGCCAAGCAACGCAAGGCAATGCCCATAAATACGAAGCATTTGCAGAGCCCCGCAACGCCAGGCAATGTGCAGCAATGCCAATCAATGTTCAGCACTGCCAGGCAATGCCAGCTAAAGCCAAGCAGTACCATGCAACGCCGTGCAATGCAAGGTAATGCGCGCCTATGCCCAACACCGATCAATGCCAATCAATGTTGGGCACCAAGCAACACCAAGCAAAGCCGAGCAATGCCGCGAAATGCTAACTAATAACAACCATCGCAAGTCACTGCAACGCCAAGAAACATACAACGCCAAGCAAGGAAGCGCCTTCCTGATTGGGGTCTCGACGGGCTCATGGTTGGGATTCCGTGAGGCGTTTGCGAAGTTGTTTTTCACAGATAGTTAAGAGGGGGAGTAGGAGGCGGAAGAAGAGGAGGAGGAGGAGGAGGAGGAGGACAAGTTGGAAAGGAGAGAAGGAGCAGGAGGGGGAGGAGTTGCAGGAAAAGCGTGAGGGCAGGAGGAGGAGGAGGAGGAGCAGGTGCGCAGGTCCATTCTGGCTCCAGCGCCCCCGCCAGCAGCTGGCCCCCCGCGCCGCGGGCGATGGGCCTCGTCCTCCGCCTGCCCCTGGCGCTGCTCGCGCCGCGCGCCCTGCCCACCTCGGCCGCGGGCGCGAGCGGCGCGGCGGGGCCGGCGCTGCGCGAGGCCTTCGCAGACCTGCTGCCCTTCCCGGGGCACGCAGGCAGCGGCGCCTTCTCGGACCTGGGAGCCTGGCACTCGGGAGCTGACAACCGGCATCCGGGGCGGCCCAGCCAATGTTTGGCAAGCCATCCCCTCCCTTGGCGCCCCCTCTTCGCCTCGCCCCAGGAAGTCCGTATGCGGCTGGAGGGAAGCCTGAAAGGCGACGGCGACGTCACGGAAGGGGATGGTTTACTAGGGGTCGGTTGGGCCGCGCCCGACAGCACCCCAGACCTGTGAGACCCGTAGATTTCTCGCGGTGGAATTCCGTTGGAGGCTATTCTAGGCCTCCTAGATGGGGTCGGAGTAGATGGGGTCGGAGGATCGCGCCGTATCGTCGATGCATCGGCGATGCGGTTCGATGTGGAGCCAGAGTTTCTCCGCGATGGCGTCGCGGATGCTTCGCCGACGTCGCCATGCATCGCAGATGTATCGGCGATGCGGCGAGATCTTCCGACCCCATCTTTTCGGACCCCGTCTAGGAGGCCTCTAGCGTGCGTATTGTCGATTGGGGCCCCCCCCTTCTCACACGGGAGCCTTGGGATCCGACAGCTTGCACCCATACTTACAGCGGCTTAGTATCTGTGTCGTTCGCCCTTCCTTCTTCCTCTAGGTTTGAGTGTGTGTGTTGTTCTTTTGTCAGGCACGGCTTCGCCCTGCCAGACGCCGGCTCCGAGGGCGGGTTCGCGGGGCCGTTCGTGCACAGCAGCTGGCTGCCCGGAGGAGGCCACTGGCTCAGCCCCAGCGCGCTGGTGCTCGTGGGGAAAAAAGGATGGCCGCATTTGCGGCCCCGGATACGGGGCGATTGTTTTGCGGATTCCCTGCGCGGAGCGCACTTGTGCGACCGCGTATCCGCGGCATCGCGCCCCAGAATATGCTCGCCGCTCGTGAGGTGCGCTTCGTGCCTGGGCCTGCCGACGGCAGCGCCGCCTGGCCGCCGCGCGAGGCGAACGCCAGCTTCCTGCCCGGGCTGCTGCGCCACGAGTGGCGCGCGGGCCCGCTCCGCGTGGTAGCCTCAGAGGAGGGCCATCCGGGGCAATCCAGGCCTCGCACCGGGGGTCCGGGTAGACGGGGTCCGAGTGTCCGGATGGGCCCCCCGAAGGCTAACAGAGCGACGAAAAGAAACAGGCCTCACGCACAGTGACCGAGAGATCCTGGGCGGTGGCTTACGCGGGCCGCCAGCGCGGCACGCTGCACTGGAAGCGAGGGCGCCTACGCGCCACCCTTACGCGGGCAGCTTGCGCCGCGCGACTGCTGGCGCAATCGACCCCCTTTGTTTCCCGAGTCTGAACGACTGCTGTCTAGAGGCCTCCCACATGGGGTCCGAGTAGATCGGGTCAGAGCATGGCGCCGAATCGCCGATGCATCACCGATGCGGTTCGATGTGGAGCCCGCTTTTCTCCACGCCGAGAGAGCTGATGCGTCGCCGATGCACTGGTGATGCGTCGCCGATGCATTGGTGATGCGTCGACGATGCGGCGGGATCTTCCGACCCCATCGACTCAACCCCCACTTGGGAGGCTTGGGGAACTTTGGCTCAGCGTGTCGCGCCGCCGGTTCAGGCCCACCACGCTGTAGCGCGACACGCTATCCGCTCTCCCGGCCCCCAGGCGTCCGCGCCCCGAGCCTGTGTCCGGCCTCCCGCCCCGCGGAGAAGAGCGACACGCGCGGGGAGCGAAGAGAATAGGTCTTCGCGCGTTGCGGTCTGGGTCAGAGCGGCTGCCCTTCTTCAGAGCGGGCGCGGCGAGGGCGCGGGGGCGCAGAGAGAACCGCGCGTCGCGCAGCGCATCGCGGGGCGCGATGCGCGAAGTTAGGTGACCCAGGCAGTTTAGCCTCGTAACTTCAACGGGGTCGATTGCGCCCCAGCATTCGCGCGTAAGCTGCCTGCGAAACGCTTTCGTTTCGCCCTCGTTAAAGGTGGCACGTAGGCGCCCTCGTTTCCAGTGCAGCGGGCCGCGCTGACGGCCCGCAAAAGCCACCGCTCAAGTTCTCCTGCGTCAGCAAAGCGCAAGACCCGTTTCGTTTCGTCGCTCAGGTGGCCTTCGGGTGGGGTCCTCGTCGCCACGGATGGACGCAGCTTGAAAAACCTGTGCGTTCCCAGACATCCGTCGCTCCAATTTCTCGACGCTTGGACCAACAGAGGTCTGGACGTCTTCCCCAGGGCCAGCATTTCATCGTGAGTCGTTATTGGAGGATCCTGGGGCCCGTTGAGGGACCGACAGAAGCCAAAGAACCAGCCGCTCCATTTTTGGCTTGGAGCCTCTGATCTCTGGGTTCGGACCCCGGGAGAGGGATCTCGGCACCGACTTGAGACTGTCTGTATCAAAGGCTCCGGCGATGGCCCGGATCATCGGGCCCGCACCCCGCCACCCCCCCCCCTCTCCACCCTGGAAAAACCGGACCCTGTCGGCTGCGCAGGTCCGAGGGAGGTACTCCAGATTTCGTAATACAAGGGAGGGGGTCTCATTTCGGGGGGGGGGTCTCTTCCAGGCTATCTTGGAGGGCCTGGGGGGGGTCTGGGGACGACGTTTTGGAGGGTTCGCCCACGGGGGGGGTCTGAAGTGGCTTGTCTTGGAGGGTCCAGACCCCTCCCTTTTATTACGAAATTTGGAGTACGCGGTGGTGGAGCGCGCGGGCATGCGTGGGGCTGCCCAAAGCGAAGAGGTTCGCTTGTGTCGGTCGGCACCTCCCCCGCCCCAGCGGACAACCCAGGGGCCATGGCCGAACAGCACAAACAAAAACTGTCTCGAGGGGGTCCGAGATACGACGGCGAGCGGCCGCTGCCTCGGCCCGCCTTGCTCCGAGCATCGGAGCTGGCCTTCGTGGGGCCTCGCACGGCGGCGGTGCGCAGCCGCGCGGTCAGCGAGGCCGCGACGGGCGTCCGCGTTGCGCCCGCCTTCTCTGGCGAGGCGGTGGTGGAGCTCGCGGCAGTCGGGGGCAACGACAGCCTCTCCCAAATTGTCGGGGGGCGCTAAGGGTGCCCCTGGCCCAAGGTGCCCCCAGCTTTTCGCTCAATGTTGGAGCCCCATCGGGCTCTCGGGGCCTCGCGAGGGGTGCTCTGGAGGCCGTGGGGGGCATCCTTGAAAATTCTGGAGTCAACTTGGGCCAGGGGCACTTCGAGCATCATCCGAAAGTGGGTCCGAGTTGATGGGGTCGGCGGATCGCGTCGCATCGCCAATGCATCGCCGATGCGGCTCGATGTGGAGCCCGATTTTCTCTGCGCTGGCGTCGCCGATGCGCCGCCCACGTCGCCGATGCATCGCCGAGAAGGGGCCTTCGAAGTTCGGAGTTCGAGGTTTTCGGGCGCTCTCTCGTGGGTTCTCGGCGGTTGCGCCTCGCCAAGGGCGCTTCCAGGGGTGCTAGGATCGTCCCGAACGGACGCCGGAGAGGTAAGCTATAACCCAGAAAAGCAAAAGTCAAGCAGTGGCGAAGCGTCCCAGCTTGCGTATAGGCCTGGCAAAGAATGTCCTAAGACTTGTTTTGTGGTCTGCACGACATGTTCTTAGAACATGTCTGGCTGGGACTGTCTTGTTCAAACCCATAGAGCTTATGTTCTAAGAACATTGTTTTTGTTATTCGAACATTCTCGGGTTCTAAGAACATTTCGTGGTAGGCCTATAGGAATGCCGGGACGCTCGGTCCCTGCTCAAACCGGGGGCATCGTCAGGGGGGAACAGGCCCAAGGGGAGATGCATCCGACCCCCCATGGCCCAGTCACCGCCCATGGGTGGCCTGGCAGCCCATCCCGCCCAATCGCTATCGGGGGCCTCTCGCCGGTCTATCGGCAACGTATCGTCGCTTCCAGCGCGACGTTCCCCCAGCCAGAGCTGGCCCCCTCGGGAGTCAATGCAAGCGGGCGTCAGCCAGAGCGCCCGATCTTGCAGGATCCTGCAGGGCCAGGGTCGCAGTGACCCGGGTTTGGGTGCAGGATCCTGCAGGATCTTGCAGGGTCCTTCGCGTTGGCCCGGGTTTGGGTGCAGGATCTTGCAATAGCCTGATTGGCCCGGGTTTGGATTGACCCGGGTCAGAAGATCCCCGACCCCCTCGCTGCCCCCCAGGCGGCCGGGCCCTCGGAGGTGACGGTGGCTGCCAGCGCGCCGCGGCCGGGGATGGAGGACGCCGTCTTCGCGGCCGTCCGTTTCGACCCGGCCGCGGGCGTGGCGGTCCGCCCCTTCGGCAGGGGCGCCAGGGGCTACTGTTAAGTCGGGTCTGTCCCTCTACAGGAGGGTAGTACAAAAATAGTGAGTCCGGGGAGGATGTGTTGTCGATTTTAAAAGATGTCTTTTCAACCGCATTTTACGTTTGACTATTTTTCATTGTTTCGTCCACAGTCCGCCTGTGGGGGGAACGCCCGACCTCAGGCTACCGCGCCAGCGCGCGCTCCGCGCTGCTGGAGCCGGGGGGCGAGCTGGTCTCGTACTACACCGTCTCTGTGGCGTTGAACCGCTCGGAGCGGCAGGTCATTGGAGGGTTTCTCCGACGGGCTTAGGCGACCCGTCCTCCTCCTCCTCCTCCTCCTCCTTCTCCTCCATCTGCTCCTCCCCCTCCTCCTCCTCCTCCTCCTCCTCCTCCTCCTCCTCCTCCTCCTCGGGTCGCCTACGACCCGGGGGGAAACCGTGCGCAGGTCATAAGAGGGAAAGGTACCGACGCCGATGCCGCTACCCTTGCCGCGGGTTCGCCGTTTGGAGCTTTCCAGGAGGCCCTCGTCGCTGCCGTTGGACTCACTTCGAAGTTTTAGTCAGAACGCACTCCGGGAGAGATCCGTAAAGTAGCGGTATCGGTATTTTTTGGTTTCGCTTGCACGCCAGGGCCCTTTCGGTCCGCTCGATCCGATTCGATATCGATTCTGGCCCGCTGGATCCGATTCGATTCCGATGCTCTGACGGTCCGAGGTGGGTTGGCGTTGATGTGCATCCTGGCGCGGCCGTTCCGATTCGATTTCGACTCCGTGTCGATGCAGACTGATCCGACGCACATTCCTGGAGGGGGAGAGAACGGGGACATGACCACGACTGACCGTGGAAACGTCGTGTCGATCTTGGTCACCCGCGATCTTGGTCAGCGTCAGTTCGTGGATCAATTTCGCGAATCGGCGACGGCCGACATGGACCATGACCAAGATCGGGGTCGACAAGATCCCGCGACATCTTGGTCGTGGTCCCCGAGTTTCTTCACTCGAACTCTGTTGCCATCCGATTTCCCGATTCGGTGCCGACTGGTCCTGCAGGCCGCGGCCGAGGCCTCGGCCGCCTTCTTCCGCGCCCCGGCGCAGCAGCTGGCGGCGGCGGCGCAGCGGTGGGACCGCGTGGTTCTCGGGGGCGGCCGAGGTTTGGGGGGGTGCCTACATGACCAGGGGGGGGGGACATCATGACCAGGGGCTGTTCAGGGACACCAGAGGCCGCAAATTGCCGCTGTGCCGGCCGGTCCAATTTCTGCTCGAAGCCATATCTTTCCCCTTCTGATTTGAATGCGTCCCTTGCGCCCCCCAGTCCGCGCGCATGCCTCTGGCCATGTTTTGCGAACCCCCCTCTTGGACGCCCCCCTCTGGGACACCCCCCGAGGTTCGCCTCGTCGCGGGGAACGCCGCTGGCGCGGAGCCGTCGCCTCGGCAGCGGGTCGCCGTCAAGGCCGCGTGCACGCTGGTGCTGGACTGGCGCGGCGCAACGGGCGCAGGCCTGCTTCACGACGGATGCAGTCCGACGATCGCGGGCGGGCTCAGCGGCGGCATGTGGTCCTGGGACTCGTGGAAGCATGCGGCTGGCCTGTCGGTCTTCGACACGGCGCTGGGCGCGAGCCAGGTGAGCCATGAAGGGAGACGGGTGCTGAGGTGTCTCGCCGTTGTTGGCTTCCCAGGGCCCTCCCTGGGCCCCCAGCGATCGTCAGAAAACGACTCAGGATGATGAAGATGTGGTGTTTGGGAAGGCCTCGGGGTCCAGTGCCTGTTCCTCGCAGGACCCGCTTCCTTCGTGCCAACAGGTTCGCGCTATGTTCGACTACCAGGGGAAGACGGGTGCAGGCTTCGTGGGGATGGTCCCAGATAAGATCAGCCTGCCCCCAGACATAGGCGCCGCCTGGGGAAACACGAAGCCGCCGCTGGCGGCGTGGGGGACTGCGGTGGTTTATGCCCGCAGCCAAGACATGGAGTTCCTGCGGGAGATGTTCCCCAAGCTTGAGGCTTTCCATGCTTGGTGGTACGAGTGGCGGGACCACGACCAGAACGGCCTCTGCGAGTTCGGCGCCAGTGGTAACGACACGCAGGGCATGAAGTGGGAGAGCGGCATGGACAACGCCCCGCGCTTCGACAGCACGTCGATGCTCCGGAACGCGGACCAGGCGTGGAGCGCCGACCAGGAATAGGCGGCTCGCAGAGCGGGGTGGCGCGAGTGGACGGGGCCGCCTGAGGTCCCGTGGCCCGTTGAGGGCCCCTCGGAGGCCGAAAGCAGCCAACTACCGGCCGCGAGCTTTTTCTCTCGGCCTCGGACCTCTGGGGGCCTCAGGAGTCGGTCGACCTCAATGCCTTCCTCTACCTCGAGAAGCTCGTTCTGGCCAGCTTCGCGGACGTGCTCGGCAACGCCTCCCTCGCCGCGGCGTACCGCCGCCGTGCGGCCGAGGTGCGGGAGCTGGCGCAGGAGCGGTTCTTTGACCCCGAGCGCGGTTATCTGGCTGCCTCGGGCCCATCCCAGCGCCTGGGTTCCATGTCAGAGGATTTCGGGATGCCCGTGGGGCTCCGCCTCTCCGAAGCCCTTTGGGGCCTGGGTGTCCCTACGTGGGTAGTCGATCCTCAGGAGGCAGGGTGGAGAATTCGAGGGACCTGAAGGCACTCCGCCTTTATAGGGAATCGTGACACTCGAGTTCTCCAGAGCTCGGGCTTGCCGACGCTCGTGCACGGGCCCGCCCTGAGTTTTGACGGGGGATGCCTGCAGCGGGAGCTCCCGTCAAATTTCAGATTGCGTCCCGTCATTCTCCTGACGGACCCGAAGAAGATTGCGTACTCCAGATTTCATAATGAAAGGGAGGGGGTCTGGACCCTCCAAGACAAGCCATTTCAGACCCCCCCTCGTGGGAGAACCCTCCAAAACATCGTCCCCAGACCCCCCCAGGCCCTCCAAGATAGCCAGGAAGAGACCGCCCCCCGAAATGAGACCCCCCTCCCTTTATTACGAAATCTGGAGTAAACATAAACACTCGGAGCTCCGCGCGGCTTTCTTGAACCGTCTCTTGGCCCCCCATGGCGGTCTCCGGCGACACCCCTGGCGCGGGGGGTCCAGCACCGATGCAAGAAATCCGCGCGGGCCTCCGAGGATTGTTGTGTATACCTTTTTATGCTCCTCTAGTGTTCGCCCGGTTTCGGGCGCCAGGACCATCGCAGGTCGATATGGTTCGAGAAAGATGCAGCAGAATTGGCTCCACGCTCCATCGCCGATGCAAGCAATCCGCGCGAGCCTCCGCGATTTTATGTTTCTGCTGTTTTTTGTCATCGACTTGCGCCTCGCGGCATGGGGGCGGATGTCTTTGACCAGCCTCATGGCGCCGACGGGGATCTCCGGGGAGGTCTATGCGAAGCCTTTTGGGGGCACCAGTAGCAAATCATGGGAGCCGTGCATACCCTCGTGACTCCGTCCTTCGAGTGCACTCGCCTCAATTAGCGTCTGGTTATCAAATAGATGGCGCCGATGAAGCGTTGGCTAGCGTTGACGAGCACCGATTGAGCGTCGATTCGCAACAGCTAGCAAAATGGTGTGGGAGGCTTTGTGGCAGGAGGGCCCCTGAGACTTTAATCCTCAGGACTGAGGACGAAGACCTCCAGGGACCCGAGGACACTACGACTCGATGCGCGGCTCTTCGGCCGCAGCTTTCGTGAGTCTGTGACTTGCCCGTCCATTTCCATGCGTTTCACTCCAAGGCGAGAGGCCACCTGGCATCGTCACTACAACTCGTGCTTCGCGGCACGGAAGCGGATTTCTTCGACCGCCGCTTGGGCGCCGATGGCGGCTTCGTGGGTCCCATGGGCTGCGAGGGCTTCGCCGCCCTCTTCTCGGGGCTGGCCTCTCCCGAGCAGGCCGCGCGCGTGCGGGAGCACCTCGTCGACCCGCGCAGGTTTGGCACCGCGGTGCCCTTTGGCAGCGTGGCGGCGGACGCCCCAGAGTTCGACCAGGACGGGCCAAAGGGGCCCGAGGGCCCAGAAACATTCCTCCTCCTCCCTCCTCCTCCTCCTCCTCCTCCTCCTCCATCAGCTAAGTTTTGTCAAGTTTTTATCGTTTTGAGCTCTGCTTAAATATTTAGTGCTGTGCACTCCCCTTCGGGTCTTCCGTTCCGTTCCGTTCCTCCTCCTCCTCCTCCTCCTCCCTCCTCCTCCTCCCTCCTCCTCCTCCTCCTCCTCGTCCTCCTCCTCCTCCTCCTCCTCCTCCTCCTCCTCCTCCTCCTCCTCCTCCTCCTCCTGCTCCCTCCTCCTCCTCGCTCCCTCCTCGTCCTCCTCCTCCTCCTCCTCCTCCTCCTCCTCCTCCTCCTCCTCCTCCTCCTCCTCCTCCTCCTCTGGGGGCCCTCAGCGGGCCCCGGGGACCGTCGAAAGGCGATTCGGGAGGAGAGGCGGGCCCCAGGGAAGTGGTCCAGGCTTCTGGAGGGGCGGCGGAGGATTTGAAGAACAAGAAGCGGCATAACATGTCTGCGCGGATTTCTTGGGTCAGCGTCGAGACCCCCTGGCGGCGGCTCCAGCGTCGTCCCTGGCGCACTCCACACGCCATGAAGGGGTGTCCGGCGCCGATCCCAGAAATTTTAGCGCGATCCTCCAAGAAATTCTGTTGGCACGCCTGCCTTTTCTCCTAGGACTACAAAGCTACCTCCTCCTCCTCCCCCCTCCTCCTCCTCCTCCTCCTCCTCTCCTCCTCCTCCTCCTCCTCCTCCTCCTCCTCCTCCTCCTCCTCCTCCTCCTCCTCCGCCCCCCTCCTCCTCCTCCTCCTCCTCTACTGGTATCGCTTTCCATGCCACGTATACTATCGGGCCTTCTGGGAGGCCGTCGTCGCCACGGCTGGATTGTCCCCGAAATCATTGTCAGAACGCGCCCCGGGAGAGGTCCGGGGAACAGTGGCATCTGCACCTCCTCTGAGGGCCGACGTTGCGATCCTTTTGAAACATCGCCATCGAGTCCGATCGATCTGTCATGGTCACGGGGCCCGAACCGGGCGAAACCGCCCAGAGGGAAGCAATTCAATGCCCGGATCCAAGGGAAGGGCTGGCATCGGTAGTATTTCGTCCCCACAAGGATGGCTACTGGCGCGGGCCCACGTGGCTGGACCAGGCCTACTTCGCGCACCGCGGCCTCCTCAGGTACGGCTACGCCGAGGAAGCGGGCCGCGCCCTCTCCGCGCTGATGGAACACGCGGAGGGCCTGGGCGTCAGGGACATTTCGGCGCCCTTCACCGAGAACTACAGCCTCGGGGGCTACCACGGGCGTCCTTAGCCCACGGCGTCCCCAGCTAGTCGCTCCGTCCTGGATCCCTTGTGGCTCCCTGGGCCTCCTCCTCCTCCTCCTCCTCCTCCTCCTCCTCCTCCTCCTCCTCCTCCTGCTCCTCCTCCTGCCCCTCCTCCTGCTCCTCCTCCTCTTCCTCTTCCCCTTCAGCTGCCATCTGGGCCTGAGAGATTGTCAGGGCAGCCCAGACCGCCACCATGCCATTTCACCGTTTGTGCGGACAGAAGGGGTGGTGACCCGCATGATAGCGGCATGGACCGCTTCTTTCGAAGTGTTCCTCTTCAACCCGCTCTCGGCGAAACCCGACCGGTTGGCGGAGATCTGCGAAGAAGCGTCCATGTTCGACGCGACAGGAGTGACGGGGACCTCACGCAGAAAAGGAGAGCCATCATCGCCCAGAACCGCATCAAGACCACACATTATTACGAAATTGGCTGGCAAACAGGAGACCTCACCAATAGGAGCACGGGGATCACCATCGCGCTGCAGGGCAAGCTCACGAACGCGATGGTCATAGACTTGGCGGAGCCACCACCTGAATTCAGCGGACGATGATTGGCCATTACGCTGCAGCACCACGTCGAGACGTTGATCCTGATAGGCGGATACCACAGCCCGCCGCAGCCAATCAAGGGCAAAAGCGCGCGCAAGGACTACTTCGCCACCACGAAGAGGCACCCCAGTTGGATAGAAAGAGAAAGTCACTAAGATCAGGCCGCGCAATGCCATCATCATTACCGCTGGCGACCTGAACGACGGCGAGGGTATCACACAAAAAGGATTCGACCACATACGCTGGCAGTGGGACCAGGCAGGGCGCCTGAACGACTTGCAGGAGGAGCAGGCCAGACAGAACGATTCGGACTCGCCGTTGTCAACACCCTGACCTCCTAGCGCCCAACGTACTTCGGCGAGAAGAGTGCGAGCTGCATCGGCTACATCATGAGCCCGCAAAGCTTGGCAGAAGCGCTCGTATCACAGTGATCACTACTATGCATGGGCGCACGACTACAACATATACAGTGCCGAACACGACGCTACCACGCACCAGTGCAAGCCACACTCAGGCCCCCGCTACGGCAACGAGGGCAACATCTACACCAACCGCCGCGGTGGGACAAGGATAGCTTGGTCCAGGCACTGCGACACGGACTACACCGCCTAGAATTCATTGCAAAAATTGAGGAGGCAATCGCACAGTACGACCCCGCGGGCAAGGGCGTGGACCAACCGTCCCGCGACATCAACGAGATCCGGATCACAGAGGCACAGAAGCATTACAAGCAACAACCCAAGGCGATGGACGAGCACAATCGACTTCCCAAAACAACCGAACGCAGCTACTTCGAAACCGACACATGTAGACACAACCAATGCGGCTATCCGCCATGACGAGCCCACCTCGTCGCAACCCCCCTTTTGGATGGAACGCCTCGAAGAGGGAGGAACCGGAGGGACCGAACCACAGGGGCGAAGAGAACAACCAGACAACAATCCATGCGCTAACGAGATACCCGAGCACCTCACAGAGAGAAACATGCGAATGCGAACAATCGAGCACCACGTGCGAGCCAGACCCAAGACCTGCAAAGAGATGCGCAAGACAGAGCACCAGATGCGCACGGATGCTAGGGCCGAGGAGATGCATGAGGCGTTGGAGCAGCAGGGCCTCGCGAGAGTGGGGCGACCAGCACGCCGAATCGCTGGGGGACGTTACGGCCCCAGGAAATGTGATTTCTGGACGGCCACTACCGCGAACCCGACGAAACAGAAGTGGGTCGATTTCTGGCAGTTGCCAGGAGGCACAGGTGGCATAGATGGCGCGGAGTAGGACATTAACGACGTGGAGGCCACGCCCACAACGCGGAGGAGAAGGCATGGACTTGGAGGAGAAGGCAGGGGGTGATTACGACGAGATCACGCCGCGCCCCAAGCGAGCCAGACAACGACGAGCAGCGCCACCCACAGCGGCGCCGTCCGAGATGTGGCGACTACTCCTTTGTCCACGCGACGACCATCAAACAAAGAAAGCGCCGCAGACTTGGATTGCGCAGAGGCCAGCGATGATCATTGCAGTTTCAAGCATTATTCAAGACGACGATGGCAGCGATTCGAATTTACAACGCGGCACCAATACGATGGCACCAGAGCGCGGCAACAGCAGTCAAGAATAACATGAGGAAAGGCCGCGCAGGCGAACGCACCCGCCACATCATGGGCCCGATTGGCAAGGCATACTACGCAGCAGGACTACGACGCAATCAGGCCAACGCTCACAGCGAGCAGGATGATGGATTCATCAAGGGCAGACGAAGAGAAGGAACAGTTTTTACCATGGTGGCGGTGGAAATGCAGGGCGAGGCGCGCGGGCTACATCTATGGCTCAGCTATGAAGGACATGTCCAACGCGTTTGCGAGCAGCTCCTGGGCCGCGATGGACGCGGCCAACAGCGCGATCGTGCCCGGCGACCTCTGGGACTTGAGATAGCAACGGCACCGAGGAGCCACGTTCAACGCGCCGTGCAGAGGCGCCGAGGAGGGCGCCTGCATCGGACCGCGCTGCGGAGGACTCATGGGCGACCCTTGCACGGCGCGCATTTCGCGGCGAGCTTCGCGCCTTGCGTGCAGAGCTGGATCGCCGACTGCATCGGGGAGGTGACGAATGACAGGCGACTCTACGGCACCAGCGAGCCTTTCCAGTATCCCGTGCGCATGGGCCCGACGAAAGTACGCAGACGACTTGCGGGGGCTGGTCCTTGGACAGAACTGCGCCGACGCACGCCAGCTACCCGAGCAGGCATGGAACGTCGACGACGCGCTCAACGCGCGTCTCAGCGAGATCGGCCTCAAGCAGGACCAGGATCAACAGGACACCGCCGCGCGCTTCCAGGGCTGCGGGGCCAGCCGGACCCGCGAGGACATCAAGAATAACCCGCAGTGCAAAGTGCCGGGCGGAGTCGCGGGCGCCGCGCGGCACCTGGGCCCGCGTGCGACGGCGACGCAGAGCGACCGCCAATAACTCCAGCAACGCATCCAGGCCACGCAGAAGAGCTACAACGAGCGCGGTGGCTTCTGGGCGAAGAAGGACATGCCATACAGATGGAAGAGGGCTGCGCTCATCTGCCGCGTTATCAACGCAGGCCCTTCTTGCGCCGAGTGTTCCTTGCCGACGCCGGTCGAGCGCCAGCTATTGCAGGGCGCGATGGGCGCGCCCCTGAGGAGGGCAGTGGCGGGCAGGGCGAGCGCGCGCCGCGCGGGCGGCGCAGTCCGCAGCACGGCGACGCTGGAGGCGTTCCGCCGCTGCCAAATCCAGCCGCCAGCGGAGGGCGCAAAACCATTCTGAGGCTCCCGAACAATCGCGGGCAGCTCATTGTCGCCCTGTCCAGGCGCTTCGGATTCGACCGCGACAGCGACGACGAGGAGAAGGGGGCTGACGAGCTGACGGCGAACGCGAATCCCTGGGCTCGCAGAATCGCGGGGGGCGCAGAGAAACCCTGCCACGTTTCGGAAACCTTCAGATCGATATCAGGAGAGGAGGTCACGATCGGAAAATTGCCCGCGCTCGTCACTGTGGAACAGCTTCACCTTCTAGACGTCCGAGAAGTTAGAGCAGCTGAACTGACGGCGGCGCCCCCCCTTCCAGGACGGGCCAAAGCGACGAACGTCGAGAATGCTTTCCCCTGCGGGGCCTTCAACCGTGGAGATGTCAGCTCAGGGGGGGGGGGGGGGGGGGGGGGGGCAAGCGGAGCGCGGGCTATTATTGCCGAGCAAGAAAGCGTTGTGCAGGCGCGTCATCAAAGACCATCGCGCGCATAATCTAGCAGCGCTTCTCACTACTAACAACGAGTGCATCAATTGCTACCAGGCGCTCTCGAGTCGCGAGGCAGCTCGGGAACATCTCGCGCGAAGCACGATAACGGGGAGCTGCTGTCCAGACAGAGCGAGAAACCAGTGCCAGCCGACGAAACCGCAAACGAAGTGCCTTCTCTGCAGCCATTTAGATTCAGACAAGGGCTCCTTCCTCCAGCATCTCTGCGCGCACTTGCCGAGACCGATATTTCGGTCTCCCAGAAGCGATGGCGCTCTTCGGTCAGCGCTTGCAGCGGGCGCCAGCAGCGCCGGTGCCAGAGGGGCCTCCGCGACCAGACCGCAGCCGACAGATGCGACGAACACTTGGAGGCGCAGCAGCAGGAACGGCAGAAGGAGGAAGAGCAGCGCCCAACGTGCAGGCGGTCGACCTCACGGCGGGGCCCACCCTCGCGATGGCCAGGGAGCAGGAGGAGCTGGCATGAGGTTAACACATGGACACGGCGTCGCTTGGCAGCCCGCTCATCCGCTCGTGGACCGAGGCGATGAACGGCAAAGGGCGCGCCGTGGAGCGGGGAGCGGAAAAGGGGACATTGCGAGGGCACAACCTTGAATGGCAACATGGAACAGGTCTCGGACAGCGCCCCACTGTACAGGGCGCGCAAGAACACGGACAACTATGAAGGATCTCGGGGGAGGCGCCGGATCCAGCTTCAGGCCAAGACGACGCATTGCCAGCTCGAGGTGATCACCGCGAAGCAGCATCGCAAGGAAGGAGCAGCGCGCCAGCTGGGATCGGCACCGAGCGGCGCACTGGAGCGAGAACTGGGGCGCTAGGTCAACGACCAGTAGACGAGATAGGAGGCGCACTCGCGACGCAACGCTCGTGCTTGGCCGCAGGGGCTCGCGAGTCGCTAGCAGGTGCGCCCCGTGCTGCGACGCAACGCGCATGATTGGCCGCGGGGGCTCCTGCGACGCAAGCGGCACCAGAGGTCAGCGAGAGATGGGACGCAGTGCGGATGCGCCTTCCTGCGACGCAACGCTCACGCTTGGCCGCGGGGGCCCGTGAGACGCACGCAGGAGGGGTGACAGAAGCACGTGGGCCGACTCAGAGACCTCGTGGCGAGGGTGAGGCCGATTGCCATGAGCAAGCAGGACGCCTCTGTCAGTTGCCGCAGGCTGCTGCAACCTGCGCCATTCCGCAGGCATTCAGAAATGGCAAGAGGTTCCAAACGCTCGATAGGGAAGGCCGACTCCCAGCTTCTCTTCCGTCGCCCGAGGCTCCCGACCCCTTTCCGACTCCGTGGCCCGAGATTGCGCGAGTATTTTGCTGGTGCGCCGACCTCCCCCCCGAATCGAAGCGAGAGGGCAGGGGGCGAGGGGATCCGAGCAGGAGCGGGCTGGAGCGAGCGAGAGGGCATTCGTGAAGCGGGCGGGCGCCACCCTGCCCGCAGACCCAATCCGTGGGGGAGGTCGGTGCAGGTGGGGCCAGAGCGTCTCTGACGCCTGCGTCCCCCTTTCAGGAAAGCAACCGCAGCTAGGCCACTTAGATGTTCAAAGCTGCGGTGCCCTAGAGGCGAGAGTAGCACAGAAATATTCAAGAGCTTCAAAGCCAAGACAGCCTACAAGCACGCAGACACGGAGATGGGGGATCGCAAAGTGAAGACGTCGTACTCCCTGAACCCCCCGCCGAGCATGCGTTTAGCCCAGGCCACGGCGAAGCTCGGAGCCCAGGAAGCCCCGCCCCCTCAGATCCAAATCCTCAAAATCAAAGAAGCGATGGGGCTAGTTCTTTTGGAGCAGAAAGCGGAGACCCCGATGGGGCCAGGACCGCGGACAGAGCTAGAGAGGGTTTGCGAGAAGCAGATGAAGGGCATACTCAGCAAGAGCTAGAGGAGATGGCCAGAGTAGCATCTATAGCACGTGATCCACGTAGACTTACAGCACTACGTAGTATGGCTATGGGCGGTCCAGGCAGACAGGCATCGCAGCATGCAGCGAGGCTTCTTAATTTGGCCGAGCGTTATCGGCAGCAGATGCGAGACCAGTTGACTCATACTACCTCAACCAGTATTTCTCGTACATAGATGCACAAGACAGTCACGCATAGGGCTTCGTGAGGCATAGCGTATGTAGATATTCTGATCAAGGCCTGCAATTTGTTTATTTCTTTTGGATTCCGATCTGCAGCTTGCACCTCCGGCAGCCGGGCAGAGATGGCCACTCAGGGCAGCTCAGCCGCTCAAGATACTCGTGTATTGCCAGCAGGTTCGCCTGAGGCAGCGTACATGGAGGCAGTGACGGGATTAACGAGGTGCAAGTCCATTTCTGATGCCACGAACGTTACGCTTGGAGCCCAGCTCGGCATCCTCACCGACAGTCGCTGGGCAGCAGAACGCCAGTCCGAGAATCTCAGTGACCGTATTGCTGAAGTTCAGACTGACCAGAGTGCAGCAGCAGCGCGTGCAGCTGAGCTAGAGGAAATGAAGCGTGTCCGTGATGCATTGGAACCCTTTGTTGCAGTGATGGATGAGATGCGGCAGCCGTTCGATGACATTTTAGATGCGAACGTGGCGCACAGCCGCTCTGGAAAGGCTTGGATAGTCCTCTGATCCAGCTCCAGATGATTTTTGAGACTGACTGGAGATATGATGCTGCTTAGCTCAGCGCCCACTCGAGAGTGCGACGATGGCCTGGATCCCCGCTGCTGCGCACTAGAGTAACTAGTGCAGGCCCCGATCGAGTTCGGCTTTTGAGGGCGGGCGGTTCGGTTTAGTCTTCTCGGCTACTAAGGAACTTCGTCATAATTATGGCAACGACACCAGAGAACCGACCAGTCAGGCTCGCAGAGAAATGAGGCCTCCTGCAGTGTTTGCGTTGCTTGCCACCTGCTTGTTTTTTGCTGGCAGAGCGGGGGGAGGTGTGGGGGTAGATGCGGGGGGGAGCTGAGAGAGAGAGAGAGAGAGAGAGAGAGAGAGAGAGAGAGAGAGAGAGAGAGAGAGAGAGAAAAAAGAGAGAGAGAGAGAGAGAGAGAGAGAGAGACGCGCCCGCGGCCGCGCGTGCTGGACACGAAGTTCGGCACGCTGCGGGTGGCGCCCGTCCTCCCCTCCCCCCCTGGGGGTTAGGGCGGTCCTTCGCGCGTGCGCGTGGTGCGTGAGCGTGTGTCGGAGCGTGAGTGCGTGGTTCGCCCTACCCCCCCCCCCCCCGAGAGTGGGATAGGCCCTGGTACCGCCCTGCTCCTGCGCTGGCCCCCAGTGGGGGCCAGTATGCGTGGACTGGGGAGTGGCTGCGCCTCTGATGCAGGCACACCGCCGCTGTCGACGCAGCGAGCTCGGGGCGCAGGAGCGGGGGTGTATAGGGGGGGGGGGGGCGCTCGCAGAGCGACTCGGGCAGCCTCCCCCTCCCGCTTTTTTAGCGCCTCGAAGCGTGCAGGGGACCCCCCCTTGCTGGACCTGCACCTCTCGCCTGGTTAGGCCCAGGCAAGAGGGCGCAGTAGGCCTGTGACGCCAGCCCTCAGGGCCGACGAGCACAGGCGCTCTCTATGAGCGTACCCGCAGGGGTGCAAGTGAGCTGCAAGTGTCTGACAGCTGCACCCCCAAGCGCCGATTCCGATTCCTCCTCCTCCTTCTCCTCCTCCTCCTCCTCCTCCTCCTCCTCCTCCTCCTCCTCCTCCTCCTCCTCCTAGGGGGGCTCTGACCTTCGGCCAGGGGCGCCTCTGGCAGCGCCCGAACGGCCCCCTTACGGGGAAACGGTCGGGCGCTGAGTGGTTCGGCTGGTCCGCCGCCTTGCTGCTGCTCCTGACCGCCCCAGCCCCGCCCGGCGAGTTGCCCGCCGACCTGCTGCCCCACCTGGGGCTCGGCCCGAGCCCGCCGCCCGCCGCCGGCCGCCAGCGCCTGGCGGCCGGCTGAGCCCCATCGGCCTCCGTTGGAGGGCGGACGCGCGCGCTGGCCCTGGCCAGGATGTCGCGGGGTCGCGCCGTGGCGGCGCTGCTGGATGTGCCGGGGGCGGCGAAGCCACAGAGGCCGCCGCAGAGTCGTGGCCAGAGCGCGCCCCACCGACGTGGCCACGGTTGGATTTGCCCCGAAATCGTGGTCGGAGCGCGTTCCAGGAGATGGCCGTGGCGCACGGCGGGGGCACGCGTCCAGGAAGGAACCCAGATGGCTTCAGACCTTGCATGGTTTTTGTGTATCTGATGAGGGCGGCGGTGATACCACTGGCCACCAGCTTCCAGACCCTGGGTTCCATATCAAGTGGTTCATTGTGGAGGATGAGCAGCGGCTGCGGAGGTGGTGGCCGTCGGAGGTTGCGAGCGGCGACCTTGGCCCAGGGTGCAGCCCTAGCTTTTCGTACCATGCTCTGAGCCTTCGGAGCCCTTCTCTGGGCCTCGTGGGGAGTGCTCTGGAGGCCGAAGCGAACCCGACGGTCTTTTGGGCTCTGAAACAGCTTGATGGGGTGCTGGGGGGGCCCGTGCATCGTGCCATTCTGCGTGATGATGGGGTTGCATATGTGTTTTTGTTGCAGGTCGGGCACTTGAACCACAACTTGGCTGTCATGGCTGAAGGAATCTACCGTGGGGATCGGTCTGGATCTCCTGTCTTGGTTGTCGCTCCTGCTGAGGGCAGGGTGGGTACGAACTCCCTCATGGCAAACGGAAAGTGTCGAAGATGCGGCCTTGAAGAGTGGAGCGCAACCACTCCAGCCTTCCCCTCTGAATCACACTTGCTTGAGGGAGGATGGACAAGGAGGAGGAAGAGGGATGAGGGTCTCAGGGAAGGGTGAGGAGGAGCAATCATATTGATTTCTGGGAAGGAGGAAAAGGAGGAAGGAACATCTCGTTGAAGGAGGAGGAGGAGGAGGAATGAGGATCTCAGGATAGGAGGAGGAGGAGGAGGAGGAGGAGGAGGAGGAGGAGGAGGAGGAGGAGGAGGAGGAGGAGGTCGGGAGGATTCCAGGGAGGAGAGCGAGGAGGGGAGGCAGAAGAAGGCGAGCGCTCCGGGGAGCGAGGCCTGACCCGCGGGCCCCTCCGGTCACGCCCGGTGTGCTTTTCCCTGGCCGGACAAGAGGTCCCACAGGTGAACGTTGTTTTAGACATTGCTTTGCCGATCGGCGGGGGCTCCCCCCCCTCCCCCCCCACATGGAGTAGGTCTTGGCTGTTTTTCGGCGCCTGCTTCGAGCGGGTGGGGTCTCCCACGGAGGCAGCGCTCTTGCAAGCAGTCGTGCTGAGCAGAGGTCTGCAGCCAGACCCCCCCCCTCCCCCCCTTTCCGCCCAATGTCGAAACGCCGAATAAAGAAAAACGCTCACCTGTCAGAAACAGAAGCATCGGGTTGGAAGGCTGGGGATGGGAGCATTGATCATATCATCCATAGCACCGCGTATGTTGAAGGTTGTCCATTACGCACTCGTGCCCTGCATCTTCCCAACCCCTTCCTCCCAACACCACACTTGTCTATCTCACATCGATCCGAGGCTCCTTAAAAACGCGATGCCTAGAGTGGTGGGCCAGAGTCGGCGGCGCAACACTAAGCCACAGTTTCCGACCGCAGAGGCTCCCGCGCTCCTTTGGGGCACGTGGAGTCTGGACCATTTTACCACAGGGCCAGTTTTTCGTCCTGAGCCGTCTTTGTTTACAATACTGGGGCCCTTTGAGGGCCCCCTGAGGCCGAAAACAGCCTAAGAACTGGCCGCCGCTCTAAATTTTTTCGGAGCCCAGGATCTCTGGGCTCGCATCGTCCTCCTTTCTCATTTCGTGTCCGGCCCTACCGATGTGCCTTGCACGACTCAGGTCATCGAATAAGAGAAATTGCACAAGAATGAACTCTGGACGGTCTGCGCGGATTTCTTGGATCGGCGATCGCCCCCATGGCGGCGCCTCCGGCGCCGCCCCTGGCGCGCTCCGTGCGCCAGGGAGGGGGGTCCAGCGCAGATCCAAGCATTCCGCGCGGACCGTCGAAAGTTTATTTGTATGCAGTTGCTGCCTTCTCCAGGTCAGACGATCCACGGCGGCCCCGCAGGAACCCTTGCGAGGGGGACCCCGCAGTGCAGCTCCCGAATGGCCTTCGGCCCAGCCCGCCACCGTGCCTGGGTTGTGGGTCATAGGCCTCTAAGGATCTCGTCGTTTGAGATGCCGTGAGAGACCAAGCCTTCCAGGCTCTTGAAGGCTCTGGGGGGCCGTTTTGAAGCCTCTTGGGGGCCGTCTTGAAGCCTCTTGCAGCGTCTTCGGGGCCTCTTGGGAGTCTCTGGGGCCCTCGTTGGGGGCCTCTCGGGCCTCCTGGGGGCCTGTTTGGGGCGGAAGACGCGGATGTTCGGTTCGTGCTCCCCCTTTGGGGCCCCTTTTTGGGATGTCTTTGGGTCCTCTTGGGCCGTCTTGGGCGTCCGTGTTGGGGCCCTTCTGGGGGCCTCTTTGTCCCTCCTGGAAGCTCGAAAAGTCGAAGGCCCCAAAATAATTGAACAACCAATTGAAAATATTGTGAATGCTCTTGGGGCTCTCTTGGGACGTCTCGGAGGCCTCTTGGACCGTCTTGGGACCGTCTTGGGGGTCTTCGTGCGATCTTTGGGCGTCTCGGGTCCCGCTTGGACCGTCTTGGGTCCTCCTGGGGCCCTCTTGGCCCGCGTTGGGGCCCACTTGTGCCCGAAACGGTCACGCGACGAGCCCCGAGAAGACGCGGAATGCCCAGGAAATGTGTGAATTCGGGGTCCGGGCCCTTTACAGGATCCGGCTTGAATGAGGAACACTTACTTGTCAAAATGGGCTCGGTCGTTCCTTTCTTTGGTTTGCATGCGTCCCGCTACCTTTTTGGCGGCGAGTCCCCCTGGTGTTCCTTCGAACTTCGTAGACTTAATGTCCAAAACCGGTTTAAACAAATGATGACCCCCCCCTCCCCCCCCGATCCCGACTGCCATTAATTCGCATCCGGATAACTATTATTTTATCTGTCCCCCCTGGAAAAAAACCATGGATGCCGATCGATGCCACTTGTATAGACCTCGGTACCAGGGAGAATGCTGATGTGACATTGTAGCTTGGTGTAGCCCCTTATGTCTAGCCTGGACGGCGCGCAGGCCCTCGTTGTAACCTGATGTAGCCCTCGTTGTGACCTGGGCTGACTCGGGTTCGTGTTTCGGGATTCCGAACCCGAGTTACATTGGGCCCGAGTTACCCCAGATAATTCGAGCGTCCAGAGCCCCGAATCATCAGGGGTAATTCGGGTCAGAGCTACGTCGGGTTCGTCTTTCGGGATTCCGAACCCGAGTTACCCCGGGCCCGAATTACCCCAGATAATTCGGGCATGCTGAGCCCCGAATCATTAGGGGTATCTCTGGTCAGGACTCACTCGGTTTCGTTTTCCGGGATTCCGAACCCGAGTTACCCTGGGCCCGAGCTACTCCGGATGATTCGGGCGTCCAGAGCCCCGAATCATCAGGGGTAACTCGGGTCAGGGCTAACTCGGGTTCGTTATTCGGGATTCCGAACCCGAGTTACCCCGGGCCCGAGTTACCTTGGATAATTCGGGCGTCCAGAGCCCCGAATCATCAGGGGTAACTCGGGTCAGGGCTAACTCGGGTTCGTTTTTCGGGATTTCGAACCCGAGGTACCCCGGGCCCGAGTTGCCCCCGATAGTTCGGGCGTCCAGAGCCTCGAATCATCAGGGGTAATTCGGCTCAGGGCTAATTCGGGTTCGTGTTTCGGGATTCCGAACCCGAGTTACCCCGGGCCCGAGGTGCCCCCGATAATTCGGACGACCAGAGGTCCAAATCGGCAGGGGCAATTCGGGTCAGGGGTAACTCGGGTTTGTGTTTCGGGATTTTGAACCGGAGTTACCCAGGGCCCGAGCTACCCCGGATAATTCGGGCGTCTAGAGCCCCGAATCATCAGGGGTAACTCGGGTCAGGACTAACTCGTATTTTTTTCCGGGATTTCGAACCCGAGGTACCCCGGGCCCGAGTTACCTTGGATAATTCGGGCGTCCAGAGCCCCGAATCATCAGGGGTAACGCGGGTCAGGGCTAACCCGGGTTCGTTTTTGGGATTCCGAACCCGAGTTGTTTTGGGCCCGAGTTACCCTGGATAATTCGGGCGTCCAGAGCCCCGAATCATCAGGGGCAATTCGGGTCAGGGCTAACTCGGGTTCGTGTTTCGGGATTCCGAACCCGAGTTACCCTGGGCCCGAGCTACTCAGGATAATGCGGGCGCCCAAAGCCCCGAATCATCAGGGGTAACTCAGGTCAGGGCTGACTCGGGTTCGTGTTTCGGGATTCCGAACCGAGTTACCCCGGGCCCGAGCTACCCTGGATAATTCGGGCGCCCAGAGCCCCGAATCATCAGTGGTAACTCGGGTCAGGACTCTGACTCGGGTTCGTCTTTCGGGATTCCGAACCCGAGTTACCCCGGGCCCGAGGTACCCGGGATAATTTGGGCGCCCAACCTTGTGTTCCCCCCCTGCTCGCACCGCCCCCCCCCCTCCGAGATGCAGGCGTTGCATGGTTGTTCGCGCTGGACGTTTTCGCCTGGCTTTGGGCCTTGGGACCACCACAATCCGATCGGGCCCGAAAAATACCGCAGAAAGATTGGGTCTAGGGCTCCAGTGGTGAGGTTTCGCAAGGTTGCATGTTTTCTGCAACGTCGGATCTTGGGGCTCTTCCTGCTCCCTCCCACCCCTCCTGTTCCTCGCCAGGGGAGGGGAAGAGACCACCGAAAATGCTGTGCGTACTCATGTTGCGTTCGTCTGTTGCTCTTGGGTATTTTTCCTAGTCGTGCCCACCTTTGCGTTGTAATGTACGCATGCTTGTTTGAATCCACGCGTGTGTAATGGCCGCCCCCTCCTCTTTACAGGCAGTTTGGACGTCTACGAGTTCGAAAACTTGGTGATGAAACTGGTAGGCCGGAAGAACGACGACGCTCGCATCAAGGCGTTGAAGGTGCGTTTGGGCTCGCCCCATTTCCAAGGAGGCATAGGAGAAAACATATTTTCCGTCAGCAGCGAGACGGCGAATTCCACTTCAGCGAGAAGCTAAGAAGGGGCACAAACTAGGGAATTGGCCAGCGGGCAAAGAGGGGGGGGGGACGGCCACGAGGAAGAAGGGACGCTCAGACGTCGAAGAGTTCGACGATGAGCAGCCGGGGGGCGGCAGCAACATCCCAGCGCGCAGGGCCAGAGTGCGGTGGGCGGCCGTGGCAAACCACGGTGGCAAGGGTAGCGGGAGGCATTGGAGTACACAGGTAATGTGAGCTTGTCTGGGGGCAACCTGGTGAGGACGTGGTATGGTGGCGCCGTTTTGACACGCGGGGGACAGCCGTGAGAGCCGCTTCGCGGCGGTGAGAGCCCAATGGTTGGGATCGGGGCGATGTCGTCTGAAAAGCTGGCGAGTCGCAGGAGACCCGATTTCATGGCGCCAACATCGCAGAGCGGATTCCGTTCGGAAAACAATAGGATGGGCCCGGGGTGTCCTGGAGAATTTGGTTCCGGATTTCGAGGCGCATCTCGTGCGGATGGTTCACGAGGACCCCAGACAATTCACGCGAAACTCGCTTCGTTTTTCGCTCGCTTTTTCGGAAAAAATCCATCCAGAAATCCACGCACAAATCAGCTACAGGACGTCTGCAAGGCCGGTGCAATGAGAGGTGTTGGGGCGGGGTGTTCGTCGGGACGTCTCCGGGTCAGGCCCGCGACGCTCGAGCTCTCGGTCGATCCGATCTGGTTTCTCAGTCCGGCTTGGGCCATGCTGTCCTGCTGGCGCATCGCCTTCCTTTTCCTCCTCCTCTTCCTCCTCCTCCTCCTCCTCCTTATCTTTCTCATCGTTGTTCTCTTTTTCCTCCTCCTTGGGGTTAGAATATCAACCGAGGCCCAACCCGTGCAGATTTGCATATCAGAGCGGTAGTCGCTGCCCTGTGCCAAGTGGCGAGTCCCAGAGGCCGACATTCAGGAACACACGGTGGCGCGAGTTGTTCGATACCCCCCTCTGCTTTCAATCATCCTCCCGATTTCTGTCAGACTCATCCTTTTCATTCTTCCGCGGCAATTGTGGCTGAAGTTCTAGCCGTGCGGCCTTGATGGCTTGAGTTCGGTCGCAGCCACATGAAAGTTGCGAAAGACCATCGCTTCGCGCGGACAGGCCCCAGCGTCACTTCGTTCACTCTTCTGGCTTCTCGCGTAAGCGCCACTGCAGTTCGCCATTGCGAGAAACATCCCGCCTGCGTGGGCCGTCAGTTTGGTCAGTTCGGTCTTGCAGGTATCGGTTTCGGTGGACGAGATGTGCCTTGACGTCAGCAAGTTGGCCGCTGGGCTGGACATCGTCGAAGCCAGCATGGAGACATACCAGCAGTCGTCGGCCGCGATGGAGAGCATGGTTCGCACGAACAGGCTGGAGGCGATGTTGGAGATGCTGGAGCAGTCACTGGCATCACAGCGCTAGCCCGTTAGAGCGTAAGCCGCGTATTTGCTCCTCCATCCAGTCGCCGCCGCGTTCCCAGTCCCAAACTCTACGCGTTCGGGCACTGCTTCATGTACTTCCGGGCCTCCTCATGCTACGAGCAGCGAGCTCTGTTTGCTTGTCCCTTTGATGGGGTCGGCGCTCGGGAAACCGGGAAACCCGCGGGGATGATCAGAGACATTTGCGCCCCCATTTGCCAGCAGCATCGCGTAGTATTCACCGTGCCCCGACATGAACCGCAAAGCCATTGTTGAGTTGCGTGCTGCAACGGGAGCGTCCGCATTTCTCCCCCAAGTTCCAGAAGATCGATTGGATTGCTGGTCCTGTTCCGAACGGCAACGACGCGGCGTCCACGCTGACAGTGCGCCGCGATTTGGACACCAGGATTGGCCGGCTGCTCCTTACCATGGGGAAGGTCCGCCAGAGCGCTCGCAGTTGTGGCCGAATGGCTCGGATCGTGACGCGCGCAGATTACGCGGCGATGAAGGTCCAGCTCGGGCGGCCCACCTCTCCGTGATGGAGGGCAGCAGCAGCGTGACCATCGACCTATTGCGGCCGCCGATGGAGGAGTTCTATTTTGGCGTTGGGACATCCCCTTTGCCCGAGGCAGCGAAGATCCCGGCGAGGCGGCCCTTTGTAAGCAGTCGGGTAATCGTTGCGACCGTTCTCTACTTTTGTCTCGCAGTTCCTCTTTGGGCTGCCCCGTCCTCCTCTTTGCCATCTTTGTGTAGTAAGCCGAGCAGTTTCGATGATGACCACAGTGGTGACCGTGCTGGTGTCGCATGGTCTTCTCTTCGTTCCTTCTCGATGGCGGTGCGGAGCGCGCGCGCAGACTTGGCCCGGCACAGGTAAGCACGATGCGCAGTTGCGTGAACGACGCGGCGCTGCATGAATTCCATGAGTGCCACGGTCACCAGGGGGGGTGGATGGGTTCCGCCAGCAGTTGTCTGGGAACGCCATCGCTGCTGCGATTCGCCCAACGGTTGCCGAGGATGAGGTTGTCTCGGCAACGCGTGGGTGTTCGCTGCATGTTTCACAGCGGTGACACGCAGACCTTTACGGGAGGGCCGAGCGATTTGGTCACATTGCGTCGGCATGCTAGGTGCTCTACGTGCGATAAACGCGCACATGCCCAACAATTTTCACGGTCGACCGCTCGACCGCCAGGTGTTGACCCAGATTTGTAGTTTCATGTCGGCAGCGGCATGGTTTCTCAATATGATGGAGGTGGATTGGGATTCTGCCATCGCGGAGTAGGGGGGCGCGATTGGCGCAATGTCGTTGGTGACGGGGGATCGATGGCGCACGCGTTGCCTCTGGGCTCCACGTAGTCGCTGGGCCGAACTTTCCCAGGCTGTCCCTATGAGGTACGGGCGGGGGAAGGGCGGGAGCTCGCGCGCGTCACGGTTGGACCGATGTTACACGGATCAGCCAAGCGCGATGCTTGCCGACCCGACGTTGCAGGCTGACGTGCGGAATCTCCCAAAACACCCCAAGCTTTCGGACCGCTATCAGATGGCAATTCTTGCTCAGCCGCGTGGCTCTCGCGAGGCCCACAGCATCCCCGACTTGGCTCCATTGAGGCCCCCGTCGAAGAAGCGGCGGGGTTCTACTTGGGCCACGGTCCCCATTGTGCCGCCCGGAGGTTGCAAGGCCGTCCATCGTGCGCAGATTCAGGCGGTCATTGGACAGCTTGCACTCGGGCCAGCGTCGTGTCCTGGGGGGCAATACTGTTGTGCCATGCGTGCTGCGCGTGGGTGCAAGACAGGCAACATCTTTCTGGCCTGCAAGTTGATGCTTGCAGTGCCGATCCCACGCCAGCTATCTGATGCAGGCGCGGAAGCACGCAACGGTTACCACTATGTATGGCAGCATGCCGCGACTATCCAATGCGGCGCTGCGCGGTGCCAGGCCCCATCGGCACGTGGACGGAATTCCGAGTGGTCCGACATTGCGCTTGCGCCCTGCAGTTGCGAGTCGCCACGGCGCCCCCGTCTTTTACCTCGGTCAAAAAAAAGATTCGAGGGCATAGAGCCGCCTCAAAACTAGTGCGAGGGGAGGTCCGATGACGCATGTACATCACATGCGATTTGTTCTTGTTGGCGGCATTCGCTGTTGGCTGATACGTATGACCTCAGTAGTCGGCGTCTGGGCATGCTCGGTTCAATCCCCCGGAACTTCCAATGGCGACGTCTCTTTGCCGCCGTCCGCCCGCAAGGCCCAGTGAATCTAGATCGCTGTCCCGAGTCTGGCAAGTTCCAGCCAATTTCGTCGTGGCCACCGCCGGCCGACCCGTCTGCCGTGGGCCAGATGATTGCAACGCCAGAAATGTCGTAAAACGCACATGCGAGGATGTGTGTCGGGCTTGCCCTTCCAAGCATCGCGCGTCGGCTTGTGCGCGCGCGCGTGCGCGGCGGCTCGGTTGCCCGAGGCTCGTCGCGGATGTGCGTTCGGGCGCTCTCGCCCCGAAGATGGCGCGATCGACTGCGACGACGCGCCTCGCTGCCGCGTGCGGTTTCTGCCGACTCCGGACTGCGGCGATGCGTGTGGTGCCGCCGCGCTGACGCTGCCAGTGGGGCCTTCGGCGGCCGCGCGGACGTTGCGTTTGCGGCTTTCGGCGGAGTTCCGTGTGGGGCCGCGAAACGTGTGATGGGGTGTGCCGCAATGGGCGCGGTGCCGCAATGCGTCCATTGGTCCTGGCGAGGCCCGCTGTAGTTCCACGAACCGTGTGCGGGGCATGCCGAAATGAGCGCTTTGCCTGCACCCGGGCGCCGCCATTGGGGCCTGCGGCGCAATTCCATACGGGGGCACGAACGGCGCGAGGGATGCGCTAGAATGCGCGCAGAGATGGGAGGAGGGAGGAGGAAAGGAGAGGATGACAGGAGACCCGTGTATCCCCGAGACTCGTGAACGATATCGCAGTATACCCTCCATCCAAGTTCCTTCTTCACTGGCCCGTGCATGGAGTCATTTTCTCTGAGGGAAGTGGCCCGTTGAAAATAGTATTCCGGCGAAGGTCCCAACCGCGCGCAGTTGCGGGTACCGTAATTGTGCAGATCTGTTTCGCTGAAGCTCCCTATGGGGCCATGAAGCGCTGCACTGGGCGGGGTGAAACGCTGCGCTGCGTGGGTGGTGCGCCGAATTGGGTTTCCGGGGCGCGCGCGGACGGCCCCGCTGAGGGCTTCGGCGGGGCTCCCTATGGGGCCAGGAAGCGCTCTACTGAGTGAGTGAAAATGCAAAATTTTGCTACCGGGACGCATGCGGACGGTCCCACTGGGGGCTTCGGTGGAGCCCCCTTATGGGGCCACGAAGCGCTGCGCTGCGCGGGTGAAAATGCCAAATTACATTTCCCAAACGCATACGGACGGCGGCACTGGGGCCTTGGGTGGAGGGGGCCACGAAACGCTGCACTGGGTGGGTGAAAATGCCAGATTGGGCTTCCGGAGGGCATGCGGACGGGGGCACTGGGGCCTTCGGTGGAGCTCCCTATGGGGCCACGAAGCGTTGCACTGGGGGGGTGAAACGCAGGGGGGAAGGGGGGGGGAGGGCCACGAAACGGTGTACTTGGTGTGCGGGACGCATGCGGACGGTAGCGCTGGGACCTTCGGTGGGGCTCCCTATGGGGCCACGAAATATTGTGCTGGGTTTGCGGGACGCATGCGGACGGTAGCACTGGGGCCTTCGGTGGGGCCCCCTATGGGGCCACGAAGCGCTGCACTGGGTGGGTGAAACGTAGGGAGGAGGGGGAGGGGGGCCACGAAACGCTGCGCCGGGCGCGCGGGGCGCACGCGGACGGTGAAGGAGGAGGGGGAAGAGGAGGAGAGAAGGAAAACGCGGGGACCGCCCCTTCAAAACGAGGACCCAACTCGACAGGACGGTTTGGAAAAATTGCCCTGGCGACGTACCCAACCCCTGCGCAATGCGGGGCATGAGTAGCTTGGGGGACGTTGTGCGGAGGTGATGGCGTGACATGGGCGCATATACTTGTGCGAACGGCATTCGTGAGGCTCGCAGCCCCCCAAGGATTCCGATGTCTCGCTCAGATATGCCTGGTGCCTCGCTCCGCTGAACCCGCCGCCAGCCTTCGAAAGTTGCGACGGTTTCACAGATCGCAGCCCCCGGAGGACGGAGAGGCCCCGCTCAGATCTGCGCGGTGCCTCATTCCGCTGGACCCACCAGCAGCCCTCGAAAGTGGCGACAGTTTCGCAGACCGCAGCCCCCCAGGGACGGCGAGGTCCCGCTCGGACCTGCGCGGTGCCCCACTCCGCAGGACCCACCAGCAACACTCGAAAGTGGCGACAGTTTCGCAGATCGCAGCCCCCCAGGGGCGGCGAGGTCCCGCTCAGATCTGCGCGGTGCCTCATTCCGCAGGACCCACCGGCAGCCCTCGAAAGTGGCGACAGTTTCGCAGATGGTAGCCCCCCAGGGACGGCGAGGTCCCGCTCAGATCTGCGCGGTGCCGCAGATCGCAGCCCCCGGAGGGACGGCGAGGCCCCGCTCAGATCTGCGCGGTGCCTCATTCCGCAGGGCCCGCCAGCAGCCCTCGAAAGTGGCGACAGTCTCGCAGATCTCATCCCTCCAGGCACGGCGATGTCCCGCTCGGATCTGCGCGGTGCCTCACTCCGCAAGACCTGCCAGCAGCCTTCGAAAGTGGCGACAGTGTCGCAGATCGCAGCCCCCCAGCGACGGCGAGGTCCCGCTCAGATTTGCGCGGTGCCTCATTCCGCAGGGCCTGCCATCAGCTTTCGAAAGTGGCGATGGCTTCGCAGATCGCAGCCCCCCAGGCACGGCGAGGTCCCGCTCAGATCTGCGCGGTGCCTCACTCCGCTGGGCCCACCAGCAGCCTCCGAAAGTGGCGACGGTTTCGCAGATCGCAGCCCCCCAGGCACGGCGAGGTCCCGCTCAGATCTGCACAGTGCCTCACACCGCAGGACCCGCCAGCGGCCCTCGAACGTGGCGACAGCTTCGCAGATCGCAGCCCCCCAGGGACGGCGAGGTCCCGCTCAGATCTGCGCGGTGCCTCACTCCGCAGGACCCACCAGCAGCCCTCGAAAGTGGCGACAGCTTCGCAGATCGCAGCCCCCAAGGCACGGCGAGGTCCCGCTCAAATCTGCGCGGTGCCTCACTCCGCTGGACCCACCAGCGGCCCTCGAAAGCGGCAGATCGCAGCCCCCCAGGGACGGCGAGGGCCCGCTCGGACATGCGCGGTGCCCCACTCCGCAGGACCCACCAGCAGCCATGAAAGTGGCGACAGTGTCGCAGATCGCAGCCCCCAGGGACGGCGAGGTCCCGCTCAGATCTGCGCGGTGCCTCACTCCACAGGACCCACCAGCAGCCTTCGAAAGTGGCGAAAGATTCGCAGATCGCAGCCCCCCCCCAGGGACGGCGAGGCCCCGTTCAGATTTGCGCGGTGCTTCGCTCCGCAGGACCCGCCAGCAGCCCTCGAAAGTGGCGACAGTTTCGGAGATCGCAGCCCCCCATGGACGGCGAGGTCCCGCTCAGATCTGCGCGGTGCCTCACTCTGCAGGACCCACCAGCAGCCCTCGAAAGTGGCGACGGTTTCGCAGATCGCAGCCCCCCAGGGACGGCGAGGTCCCGCTCAGACCTGCGCGATGCCCCACTCCGCAGGGCCCGCCAGCAGCCATGAAAGTGGCGACAGTGTCGCAGATCGCAGCCCCCAGGGACGGCGAGGCCCCGCTCAGATCTGCGCGGTGCCTCATTCCACAGGACCCACCAGCAGCCTTCGAACGTGGCGACAGTTTCGCAGATCGCAGCCACCCCAGGCACGGCGAGGCCCCGTTCAGATTTGCGCGGTGCCTCACTCCGCAGGACCCACCAGCAGCCCTCGAACGTGGCGACAGTTTCGCAGACCGCAGCCCCCCAGGGGCGGCGAGGCCCCGCTCTGATCTGCGCGGTGCCTCATTCCGCAGGACCCACCAGCAGCCCTCGAAAGTGGCGACAGTTCCGCAGATCGCAGCCCCGCAGGCACGGCGAAGAGAGGGCAGGAGGAGGCAGGGGGCGGGAGGAGGGACGCGACCACAGTGCTCGATAAAAAACGAATACCCAACCACGGAGGGTTGGGAACAAACGCTTGAACATCCCGGGCTGCAACAACACGATTCGTGGGTTTTCAACGCCGCGAATATCCGTTAGCGTTGCGTCGTGACGGTCTTCAATCGTACTAGGGCGCCGTTCCTTCTATTTAAGCTCCGCGCATCAAGGTACTTGTTGCGCCCTGGCAGTCTGGCATCATGCCGACACCGCATTGTTTGGGCGTTAACCATGGAGACCATTGAAGTTGTTGTGGATCTCTTTACACCAAAGTGCGTGGCGCTGGGGCGAAAACCACATTTTGGAAGGCAGCCGCTCTCCACTGGCGAAAATCGTGCACCTATTTAAAATTACCCCAGTGCGACCCTACCTGGAAGTTGGGGCTCCTAGGAAAGCAGCATGAGTTGCGACGCGACGCTATGATATGCCATGCTATGCTGCGCTACGATATGCTATGTTATGCTATGATATGCTATGCTATGCGGCGCTATTATGTGCTATGGTATTATATATGGTAAGCTAGGCTATGTCATGCAGCGCTGTGCTATGCTATGATATGCTATGCTATGCTAAGCTGCGCGATGCTATGATATGATATGATATGTTATGTTGCGCTATGCTATGGTATGCTATACTATGATTGGCTATGCTATGTTATGCACATGCAGCGCTGCGCTATGTTCAGCAAAGTTAAACTAAGCTCAGCTAAGCTAGCCCTCTAGGCAGAGCCTAGGTAGGGAATTACACCCATGCTAATGCTATGCTGCGCTATGCTACGCTACGCTGTGCTACGCTGTGCTGTGCTCTGTTATGCTAACGCTCAGCGAAGCTAAGATGAAGGGAAGCTAAGATAACCTGAGCTAAGATGAAGCTAAGCTAAGCTCATATGAAATATGCTAAGCTAAGGTGAGATAAGCAACGCTAAGCTAAGGGGACGCAACTGGGGAGACCGCGGGGCGGATACTGGGGGAACCGCCCGGGGCGCTTTCCACTGCCCGGCCTTTTTAAGCCCAGAGAGTAAGAACCCTTCTAGGCAGAGCTTAGGTAGGGAACGAATGCGCGCGGCGTTACGGCGAGGCCACCTTTTGAGAGAGAGCCGCCGTCCATTCCTGAAACCTTTCCACTTTTGTTGAACGGATACCACGGCGCCGAAGCGACAACCGCATATTGAAAACGACCCCCCCCCGTCTTTCCAGTTCCTGCATGCGCAGAACTGATGCCATGGCGCTCAAGCGAAGGCCGCATTTTGAAAATTGCCCCCTTCCCATCCATGGAATTCCTGGTAAACTTTTGGACGAGTGTGCGCGGCTCTCAAGCGAGAGCCACCCGCCCTCCATCTGGGAAGCTCTTGCAACTCCTCAGCTGAAGGATCATTAGAGGCGCGGAAATCCCGAGCGAAAGGCCCAGCCCGCCCTACCGACACGCCTCGGAATGCGACAGGGCGGAGTTGTTTATAACGAGCGCGAAACGGGAGAGGAGGGGAGGGGGGGCGAGGGGGAGAGGAGGAGGAGGAGCAGGAGGAGGAGACGGGGGGCGCTGCTGATTCAAAACCGGACCCAGCACCACATGACTTTTGGGAGCTATTTGTTTTCATGCTCTTCCTTTTTTCTTTACCCCTCTACCCCTCTACCCCATCATCATCATCGTCATCATCATCCGTAGCCATTTTGGCGCCAGCGCCAAGATAGGTATTCAATGATTGCCTAAGCGGGGTAGGCCCCCATCCATATTCCAGACTGTAGCGCTCATGCGTTTGCAGCACCAACCAGGGGCGAGCTGCCACCCGTTGCGAAGCCTCGCCATCCATATTATTGATGTCTCTGCTTTCCATAGCAGCCGCGCTGAATTTCGGACGGACGCAGCGAGACTCGTGGAATCCTCACGGCAACTCCAGAGGTCCACCGAATGGCTTCAAACCGCGGCTCAGGCTCGGGAGCATCCGATTCCAGTGCTCCCGAGCAGAGTCGCTCGCATCATCGTCGGCACGCGGCGCGCAGTGGATCGCGCAGTGATCGAGGGGTCTCCACCGCGCCAGCAGCCAGCAGAGAACATCGGCGTGACCGACAGGGCAGCGCTACATCGGAACACCATCTCGGCACCGAGATCAAGCAGGGCGAATAAAGGGTTCACGTCGGCCTGGCAGCTCGGGAGGAGGCGTGCTTCGGCTACAACAAGAGCAGCAGCAGCGACAAGCTGCAGAAGTATGCCAGCCCATGGAGGGAGTTGATGACCTTCCCACATTCCCAGATGCAGAGAGGCCTCGAGCTGATCCGCTTCGCGCAGGTGATCTATTGACAAATCCGAGTGCTACCCCAGTGGATGGACATCCCACACCAAATACTCAACAATGCGCTGTCGGACATGGCGCTGGGGCGGGCCAGGCGCTGGAAGCCAGGCTCACATCCATCTTCGCCGAGCAGATGCAGCTGGCCACATCGCGAGTCCAGGCCGAGACCACCTCTATTTTGCAGTCGGCCACGTCCACTTTTCACAACGAAGTTCAGGCAATTCTCGGTCGAGTTCGCCAGCAGGACACGCGGCTGGACACTTTGGATTACACTGTCAGGGACATCAATCAGAGGGCCCATGTCGTCGAGACAAAGCAGCAGCAGCTGCGCGCCGATACCGAGCGCATCCAGGCCAGTTTTGCCATGGCAGAAACGACGTTCCCACCGCTCGACTTGGCGGCGTTGGCAGTTTGGGACCGCCCACCAGATTCTCGCTTCTATTCCTTCGGAGCAGCGACAGCAGTTCAGTCATCCGAAGTCTACAGGGCACTCGAGCCATGGATCAAGTGGAGCTCGAGTGGCCATTTCGGATGTGGAGCGGGTCGGCGACGCTCCATCCATGCGATTCTACCTGCGGGTCAAGGGCGGCGCAGCGGCTCCCTCTCGCAGCGCACCCCCCCCCCCCCCCCTTGCGAGGAACCTACGCCAAGGTGGGAAATGGAGACATTTCTTCTGCATCGACACCCCTGGCGCCGTCACTCCGCTTTATGCCAATGCGGAAAGGAGCCGCAAGACGCTGCGGCGCGAAGTCCAGACTAAGAAGCTCGCCCATCTATTCGGAGAGCGGCATGAGGGGCACTTCCTCAGGAAAGTGGGCAGCGACGGGATCGTTTCGTGCAACGCCGCCCCCATCGTCAGTGTGGAGGTTGGGAACAACGCCTTTGCCGCCACCCAACTCAGATGGGACAGTGCCGCCATCGTCAAGCATGGGATTGGCAAACAAAGCACCAAGGACACGTTCTTGTCCACTTAATGGTAGATGGCACCTTTGGAGCATCAACCAGAGCAGTGCAGAGTCAAGTTCGGAGCAGTTGGCGTCGCCAGCACGTCACCCTCATGTTCAATTATCCGGATCTACCCCCCTGGCGTTGTCAGTCTTCATTTCGGGCGTGTAAATCACATATGATTATGGCCACATGGCCATCCTAAATATGAAACCGCAATGTCAAAAGCCAATTGGTACCCCCCCTGAGGGTCCCTTATAAAAATCACGATTCGGTGACATTTTTGCTCCAGCATAACACTTTTTTGCGAATCCCTTGCTAAACATGGGGCGAAGTGAACGCGCGCGTCGTCGCGCGCGCATGCCGAAAACCTTCGACAACTCTCGGTACCGGAAGGATTTCGCAACCGAACAAACATACAAACACACAGGGTTTCGCAACGCTGATGTGCTAAACAAGTTTCCGCGCGAGCTCTTGCGATATCTTAATCAAACCATTGTTTTTTTCAGATGTTCACAACACGCTACCAAAGTGGCATCGCGCGCGCATGTCGAAATCTGTCGAACGCCCTTGCGCGTGTGCCTTCGCGAGAATCCTCTGCACAGAACCGAAACCCTTCGAAACCCATCGGTTTCGGAAGGACTTCGAAACCGCGTGTCCAAACAACATACAAAAACAATGTTTCGCAACACAGATGTGCTAAGCACGTTTCCGCGCGAGCTCTTGCGAAATCTTAATCGAACCATCGGTTTTTCGAGATTTTCACAACATGCTACCAAAAGGGCTTCGCGCGCGCATGTCGAAATCTGTCGAACGCCCTTGCGCGTGTGCCGTCGCGAGAATCCTCCTGCACAAAAATGGGACGAAGTGCAGGCGCGCGAGTCGTCGCGCGCGCATGCCGAAAACCTTCTTTCAAAACCGTGCGTCCAAACAACATACAACAACACAAGGTTTCGCAACGCGGATTTTCAACAAAAGCGTGCGCGCGCGATGTTGCGTCGTCGTCGTCGTCGTCGCCGTCCTCCCTCCTCCCCCGTCGTCGTCGCCTACGTCGTCCTCTGTCTTTCCTCGTGTTCGTCGTCGTCGTCCTCTTTGGCGTCGTGGTCGTTTCCGTCGTCGTTGTCGCCGTGGTCGTCCTTCCTCCCCCTCCCTCGTCGTCGTTGTCGTCCGTCGTCGGCGTCTCGTCGTCGTCCCTCCTATTTCGTCGCCGTCGTCGGCGTCGTCATCGTCGTCGTCGCGGTCGTCGTCGTAGTTTTCTTTCCTCCCTCGTCTCTGCCGTCGTCGGCGTCGCCGTCCTTCCTCCTTCTTCGTCGTTCGCGTCGTCGCCGTCCCCCCCCCTTCCTCGTCGTTGTCGTCGTTGTCGTCGTTGTCGCCATCGTCGCCCTTCCTCCTCCCTCGTCGTCTTCGTTGGCGACGTCGTCGTCGTCGTCGACGTCGGCGTCGTTGTCGTCTTCGTCGTCGTCGGCGTCGGCGCCGTCGTCGTCGCCGCCGTCGTCGTCGTCGTCGTCGGCGCCGCTGGCGTCGTCGTCGTCGGTCTCGTCGTCATCGTCGTCGTCGGCGTCGTCATCGTCGTCGTTGTCATTGTCGTCGTCGTCGGCGTCGGCGTCGTCGTCGTCGTCGTCGTCGGTGTCGTCGTCGTCGTCGTCGTTGTCGGCGTCGGCGAAGTCGTTGGAGACGTTGTCGGTGTCGTCGTTGTCGTCGTCGTCGTTGTCGCTGTCGTCGTCGCCGTCGCCGGCGCTGCCAAGTGCCAGTTGGTACCCGCCGTAACGGCTTTAAGAGATTTTGCAAACCAAGTTGCGGGCGGGTGGGTGGGATGTCTGCGCGAGCAGTGGAGTGGGCAAGTCAATTCGAACAAACATTAGTTTCAAGCCGGAGTTCCTGGGCGGATCGTAACACCTCGAATCGACTCGGCTGTTGACCACTACTCCGTGCTGCGCGTGAGTGTACACAACTACGAGTTCGCTCTTAATGTCAAACAATTGGTTGCCCGTGCTGGGAAGGATGCGGTTGAATGGCACCAGGGCGACCTCCATCATCGCGCGTCCATTGCCATGGTTGACCCCGACCATCGCGATGGGAAGCTGCTTGGTTTCGACGAGCCAACCCCATTGCAGACACCTATACCGACCGCGCCGCCCCCCCAGCCAGATGAGATATTTTGGCGTGTTTTCGTTTACCTGGCCTAGGGGGAGCTGGCCGACACCCCAACCCGCGTCAATCGCCAACTGTACTCCGCCGCCGCCATTGACAGGGCTTTTCTTTACATCCCAATACACTTCCTCCTCGATACGGTTGCCCACCAGAATGCGGTCTGTCTTTGTCCAGCTCGAGAGCCCCCAGGGGAAGCAGCGCGGCGTGCCCCGAGCACGCCGCGCTGCTGCTCAATCAGTACTTCAAGGCACCAGAAGACGCCGCGGACCACCGCATCCCTGGCGCGGTGTTCAGCGACGTAAGGTACACTGTTACTCTGGACATGCCCTTGATTGACGCGGACCTGGGGCGTTCCCCTTCAATTGCCAGTTGGCAGCAATTGGCAGATCTATTGTCTGTAGGGGACAAACATACACGTGATGACTTGCGACGACTTCCAGTTCGTGCTCACAACGAGCGTGCCCGAGGGGGCGCAACGTCACATCAAGCGGTATTTCTCGTGCTGTCTGGAGGCAGGATACGAAGTATACAGCTCTCATCATAGCCAGTTTAGACGTGGGTTCCAAGCATCTTCACCTTCAAGACGAACAAGTTCAGCGTCGGGAGCTCGATGCTGACCGCCGTCAAATTCGTTCTCTACGCGCTGCAGGGCGTCGGGCCAACCACGAGCTTGCTGTGCGTACAGCCCAACGTGCTCAAGGGGGGGGGGCCAGCGATGCCGGTGAGCGCCTGCGGAGCCCCAACCAAATTCACCCTCTTTTGCCGCGCAGCATGGATGCTGAGATTCCAACTTCGGCGGCCAATCAGTGCTCATAGGACTGGTCTGCGCGCGCGCAGCAAGCCCCGCTAGGATTTGTGCCGAGCAGGAATTTTCAACTTACTTTGTCTCAACTAGACGCAGCTGCCCGCTCGGCTAGTGCCAGCGAGACAGCTGTTACGCAGACGCCTGTCTTTGTCACGCTCGATATAGCCGGTGTGTTTCCATCTCTGGGCAGCGACTGGCAGTGGGATGTGTTATCTCCTTTTCGCCTGCCGTCTGAATATCTGAATTTGCTCGCACGAGTGCACTCTGAGCCTCGCAGCTTTGACCTGCTGGATGGCGACAGGAAACTTATGATCCACTTGCGTTCGGGCGCGTCGCAGGGCCGCCGCCTTCAGGCTCGGGGCGGGCCACCGCGATGGACCCGGCATGTTTTCCATCGGTGGCGGAGGGGTCGTCGCCGCCTCCGCGGGGAGTGGATGGAGGAAGTGCGGATGCTACGAGGTTTGAGCAGCCTTGTCCGTCTGCTTCAACAATTGTCTCTCATGGTTGCAGAAGCACCGAGAGGCCAGCAACATTGCGGATCCTGACCAGTAGGATTGTAGTTGATCCTCTGTCATCGGAGTCTAGTGTCAGCCCGCTTCTGCGCAGCAGCACTGCCCTCTCGGCGCCCAGCCATCGTGCCCTACAGCTCTCATTGCTAACTGTATACCTGTGCCAAGTAAAACTCGCTCCGCACAGAATCCTTCGTTTGCCATCCATCGCGCTCCGATTGGTTGTTTTGTTTTCATTCCAAGCACACGGTTTAGTGGCACACGCATCAGAGCTAGTCATGAACGCACCAAGCATGTGGAGACGCGGCTGTCATACACTGCGAAGCTGGGGGGGCGCAGTTGCACGAGCGGTTTGAAACGGCGTTCTTCCAAGCACCACTGGTGCGCTGGACGCGTGCGCAATGGAATGCCCCATGCTGGAGGACAAAGCATGGCTTCTTGCAGCGGTTTGGCGGTAGTTCCGTAGTCCCACACTTTTCATCCATCCCTGTTGCATTCTGGCGTTCGGCCCTGGCGGCGGCCCGTCTCGAACAGGCCAGCGCAGCGGGGGAGGGCCGCAGGAGGAAGGTCCAGCGTGCTTTCCCTTCCTCGCTGCGCGTCTCACCTTTTTCCATCTGGATTTGCGAATACTATCGCTGCGCGTTTGTCAGCACGGAGCACACCTGCCTCGAATAGTGGGACGGTGCGTGAGCGGTGGGGGGGGGAATGCCGCGTGGCGATCCGCACGATTCAACTTGCATGGCTTTGGAGCCTGCACAAGACTCTCGCAGGAGGGCGCACAGCATCACATTGCATGCATGTCGCTGGAGCGACATCGCGTATGTTTGGCTGCATTGGGCAGATCGGCTCATTCCCACGCTACTCTTCCTGCCCTGAACTCCTGGCCTTGCCTCTCTCACCTCATTTAACACTCGGCCCTGGCGCCGACAACGAATGCAACTGCGCATCGCGTGCACTCTCCCACACTGCCGCCATGCCACTGGGTGCGACCGCTTTTCGCACCCATCGTAAGCTCAAGGCGACGCTGGTGCACGGAACCGTTGCGAACCTTGCTGAGCAAATCGCCGATGTAGCAGCTGCCGTGCACGCCACTTACAACTAAGCGTGCGGCCTGACTGCGCCCCCCCCCCAGGTACGGTCTACCATCATCATCATCACCATCATCATCATCATTATCATCATCATCATCATCAACATCATCATCATCATCATCATCATCATCATCATCATCATCATCATCATCATGTTTTTCCCCTGCCCCTCCTCCTCCTCATTCTCTCCTCCGTCATCATCATCCTTCCCCTCCATCTGCTTCCCCTTCCTCCTCCGAGGGCGAAGTTGCGTCTCTGAGGATGAACTGGGGTAGGAGGGAGGGGTGTGTAGCTGAATTGAGGTAGTGGGGGAATAGGCGGACCACGGGTACGGTAGGGGGGATGTTGTGGGTCCCCTGGGTCCCCTTATGAGCTACCTGTGAGCTTTCATTTTGTCAACTTGTTGGACAGATCGGCGACCCGTCGAAGCAGAGAGTGATTGGAAGGAGTGCCACGACCATTTTAGAACTGAGAGCCGTGGAAGTCGGTGGACCGTGGGAAATTCCGACCCACAGGCCACTCATTGCGTGTCAGAGATGGGTTGCCGTGGCGGCTGCATGTCGTATGGTTTGTTTCCACATTTGGCTTGCTGAAGGCACATCATTGCGGCATGTGTTCTTCGATCGGTGTTTGGCATTCCCATGTATCTCCAACCGTGTGTCCGATGTCGTTCAGTCTTCGGGCCCGCTGGCGCGCATGCTGCTTGTGGGGCATGTCGATGAGTGAGGGGGGAAGGAGGCGAGAATGGTGAGGACGACGAGGACACAGAGGATGTTGAGATGAGGAGGAGGGAAACTGAGAAGAGTGAGGATGCAAAGGAAGAAAGAGGTTCAGGCAAAACGGGGGGGAAGCGGAGCGGGACGACGGGAAGGGACGAGGAGGCGGAGGACGAGGACGGGAAGAGGACAAGGAGGCATGAGGATTCACGACAAGAGAGACGAGGAGGCGAGGACAGAACACGACAAGGAGGGAGCAGGAGGTGACGAAGGGGAAGGGTGGGGGAGAAGGAAGAGGACGGAGGAGTGACAGGAGGAGAGGGGGTGTGCAGTTGCGGCGGCACCGGGCACGGCCAATGCCCGCTCCCCCTCTGGTGGTGCGGAGCTGCCGCCGCAGGTCGTGGAAGAGCTCGGCTACACCGAGAAGGAGGAATCGTCGGGGAGTCGTCGGGGAGGAGGGGATCGTCAGGGAGGCGGGTGGGATGAGGAGGAAGAGGAGGAGGAGGAGGAGGAGGAGGAGGAGGAGGAGGAGGAGGAGCAGCAGGAGCAGGAGCAGGAGGAGGAGGAGGAAAGCGGAAAAGGAGGATGCGAACGAGGAGAAAGATGAGGAGGAGGAGGAGGAGGAGGAGGAGGAGGAGGGGGAGGGGGAGGGGGAAGAGGAGGAGGACGAGGAGGAGGAGGAGGAGGAGGAGGAGGAGGGAGACGACGCTGAGCGGGAGGAGGAGTATTGCAGCACGCGGATAAGCAATTGTCTACTTGCAAAATTGGGTTGGTCTGTGGCGTGTGTTCCGCGGCCACCGCCGACATCAACAGCTGCATTTCGACAAGGAGGCTGTGCCATCGCATGGAAGCCCTCTTGCGTTGGAAAGATCTGTGCAATCAGCCAGCTGTGTTTGGGTTGCCGGTTGGTCGGGCTCAAGACGAGCAGTGCATTTGATGTGTTTCTGTGTGGACCCGTTGAGGCAGACACACATATGTGGAGGCGCCTAGTTGCCTGTGTTAAGTCGATCGCCATCCGTGGGTGCGATCGCCATCCATGGGTGCCCAGCCTACATCATTGAGGACTTCATTCGGCGTCCATGGTACCCTACCTGTTTGGGGCCAGGATGGGCTCAAGCGCCGGCAACGTTGGCTACCACCACCGAGGGTACCAGGCCGACGAGATGTTCATGCTACGGTTCCCCAGCGTTCTTTCTTCTGACGAGCTTGCCCATGGAGATTATTCCAGGCAGCTCTCATCACGGGGTGGTCAAGTACAAATTGCAAGAGCCGACGTACCATCGACCCCAGCTCCGCTTGCATATACAGTGCATCATTCCCCAACCAGGTTTCCTGAGTTTCAGCGCGAGCTCGATCACCTGAGGGTCGAGTTGGACTAACGCATGCCAGGCTTTGGAAATCTGGCGCTTGAAGTTTTCGAGGAGGCTGAGCTTATCGACGTTGTGAAGCATTGGCACGTGACGGCGCATTTGCTGTCAAGGCGGAGGAGGAGTTTGATTACGCTTCGCTGGAACAAACAAATAGCTGACAAAAAGGCCCAAGGGTGCAGAGGCAATTGCCAGACGGACGACGCAAGGGCCCCTCTGCAGACTGGCGCAGACCATTGCACTACGACGGCCTCTACGACTGCATCCATCGGTCTCGCAGAAGGTCAAAAGGTCACTTGTACACGGTACCGTGAATGGCTCCGGCATGGAATGTATTTTTGGCGGACTTGTTTTTGGAGCTCCTGTTTACCACGAGGTGCTTGAGACCATGTCTCGTGACACTTCTACTGGGCGATCATCGTGCAACGTTGAATCGCGGTCGCGAAACCGCGGGGCGGGCGCCCCCACCCCAGCCCCCATGCTTGGGCGAACGGGAGGGGGCGCCGCGCGACGCGCAGCGGCGCGGGGCGACGCGTGCCCAAGCGTCGGGTGCGAGGCGTCTCGCAGTCCGCCCTGCTTGCATGGGCGATCGCGCGAGGGGGCGCGTGCGCCGCCCAGGGTCGGGAGGGGCGTCGCGCGCGCACGGTTTGTGGGGGTGTCCCGCCACGTTCGAGGGGCACCTGCGGTGTGGCTTTTGCCCGCCCACCGTGGCCGTGCGTGCGGGCGCCGTCGCGCGTTTGTCCACGTGACGTGCAAGGCCCGGGTGCGGCACTCTGCACGTGTGAGGCGCGTGTCCTCGGCTCACTGGTGGCCGCTGCTCCGCGCGTGTGTTGCGCGTTTTGGTTCTTCGTGGCACGTTCTGCTCTTTTGTGGCCCCTGCGCGTGCCAGGCGTGCGTCCAAGGCTCATTGGTGGCCGCCGCTCCGCACGTGTGAGGCGTGTGTCAGGCCATTGGTGGCGTGTTCTGCCCGGGTGCGGCACTTTGCACGTGTGAGGCGTGTATCCTCGGCTCATCTGCGGCCGCAATTCTGCGCGTGTGAGGTGTGTGTGTGTGTGTGTGTATGTGTATGTGTGCGTCTGGCCTTTTGTGGCACGTCTGCCCGTATTTGGCACGCCCGTGTGAGGCACCTTGCATGTGACGAGTATCCTCGGCTCATTAATGGCCGCAAATCCGCCCGTGTGTGGCGTGCGTTTGGCCCTTTGTGGCAGGTTCTGCCCGTGCGTGGCACGCCCGCGCGTGGCATTTGAAAGTATGATGCGCGTTTCCTCGGCTCATGTTGGTCGCGACACCGCGCGTGTGAGGCGTGGGTCTGGTCCTTCGTAGCACGTTCTGCCCGTGCGTGGCTCTTTGTACGTGTGAGGCGCGTGCCATTGGCTCATTGGTGGCCGGAAATCTGCCCGCGTGCGGCGCGCGCCCGGCCCTTTGCGGCGCGCTCCGCCCGCGCGTGGCATCTTGCGCGAGGCGTGTATCTCGGCTCATTGGTGGCCGCAATTCCGCCCATGTGAGGCGTGTGTCTGGCCCTGCGTGGCACGTTCTGCTCGTGCGTGGCACTCTGCGCGCGCGATGCGTGTATCCTCGGCTCATTGGTGGCCGCAATTCCGCGAGTGCGGGTAGTAGCGCGTTCCGCCCGCGTCGCCCGCGCAGTGCGCAGCTGATCGGCGGGGGCAGTCCGGCGTGGCACCCGCGCGGGCATCATGGCCGCTTTGTTCCTGCTTGGATGTCCGAGGCCGCGTCCGAGGCCCCGCGAGGGGCTGATTTCTACGGGAATTTGGCCGAGGCGCTGAAGCAAAATGACGTTACTCACTGGCGCGAAGTGCTGGGCGCGGGCGCCCGCGAAGCGGCGGCGTGGACAGCCCGCGCGTCGCGCCCTGGCGACGCGCAAGGCGACCCTGCGGAGGGCTCGCGAGCTTGGGGGGCGGCCGAGGCCGTGGTGGAGCACGCTGCTTCGTACGCAAACCAATTGGGCGCGCCCAGTGAGGGGCCGCGACGCGCCCTCGACTGCGCCGCTGCAATGAGCCGGCCCGAACGCTGGCGCTTCGCCACGAGGGCGCGCTGACATGCGGCGTTTGGCAGTTGCCCTCGATCAGCGCAGAGCTGGGCGTCCGCAGTGCGATGGCGCGTGCGCTTCTCAAAGTGCGCCCCTGGGCGGGATTCCCCCTTTCCCATCGGCGCGGAGGACCTCCAGATCGCCGGTGCGCTGTTCCGCGTGAGCGGCGCTCTCGCTAATTGCTGCGGGCGCTGGCGCACGGCATCCGAGCTGTCATCGGTGTCGACGGCCGCCTTCGATGATCGCTTCGTAGAGCGGGCGCGAATGGGCGTCGCGAAGACGTGCCCGACGCCCCCGAGAGTCAAACGTTTTGCGCAGCGCGCCCTCCCGTCCAGAATCGTTGAAGCGAGCGGCCCGGGCCCGGCGGCCGTGCCTGTCAGGGGGAACGCGGCGATGCCCATGTGTTTCGGACGCGCGTTTCTGTTGCGCCTACCAAGCGAGTTCTTGCCCGATGTCTTCGATGGCTTGGCATTGAACGAGGTGCACCAGGCATGGGTGCGCCTCTCAGCAGAGGCGTTTGGTTTGCGATTGCAGCGGCGCAAGAATTCGGAACGGCCCGCGACAATTTGGCGCAAGTGCTGGCGCCGTACCGAGGGCGGCAAAGGCGCGCGTCCAGCGCGCGTCCCCGGTGCTTTCTTCGAGAGAGCGGGCGTAGGCACGCTGGCCTCCGCGAGTTCCCCCCCCGCGGACGCCGCGGCCGCCGTCCGGATTGCGGACAGGGCGGCGGGCGCAGCGCGCCCGACAGAATTCGACGCGAAGGCGCTCCGCCGCGGACACGCGCTCGACTTAGTCGAGCGCGGGACCGGCCTGGCCGAGATGCTTCGCGCGGGCGGCTGGCGGGGCGCTGCCTTCATAGATTATCTGCCCGTAGAGTCTCTCGAGCGGGGCGCTGCTTTCGAGGCCAGGGGCCATTGCTTTTCCGACAGCGATGCGTGGAGAAATGAGACTGGGCTTCGTGCCTGGTGGAGCGCGCGCGCAGCGGCGCGGGGCGACGCGCGCCCAAGCGTCGGGTGCGAGGCGTCGCGCAGTCCGCCCCGCTTGCGTGGGCGAGCGCGCGAGGAGGCGCGCGCGCCGCCCAGGGTTGGGAGGCGCGTCGCGCGCGCGCGGTTGGCGGGGGTGCCCCGCCGCGCTCGGCGAGGGGCACCTGCGGTGCGGCTTTTGCCCGCCCACCTCTCCCTTGGCGGCCGTTCGGCGCGGGGCGTTCGCATTGGGCGCTCGGCTGGGCTGACGACGCAGGGAAGTGCCCGAGCCACCGTCGGCTCAGGGCACCGTTGCGCGCGGCCAGGGTCGAGCGCCGCACCCAGCGTCGCGGCGCGACGCGCCGGGCCGTTTGGCGTCCGCGCCATGGTTTGCGAGTGGCTGCAGAATCTCCAGTCCGCCCAACCTTGTGAGGGGCGCAAGCAGCACATATATGGTTTTTGTTTCAAGCACGCCGTTGTTCAGAGTTGCTTCCCCTGCCAGCCCCAGCGGGCGTGGAGGAGGTGCGCCGAGAATGGTCTAAGCAGTGGGCCTCGGCACTGGCGTCGCTTGCTGCGGCTTGTAACTGAACCAGACGGCGTGGGCGCGCTACGGAGTGCGAGTGCCCATAATCTTGGGGGAACGCACGACGGTTGCCGAGCATGGCGGCCCTCGACCGCATTGCTGCTTCATCTCAGGTCGCCTCGGAGTTGAAGCTGCTACGATCATTTTTTTCCTGAGTGGGTTTGGGACTTATACGAGTTTCGGTGCCGCGCGAGCAGGGTCTGCGTCGAGTGCCAGGTCGCGTCGCCGAAGGGCGCCATGGAGGTCAGCATCTCGTGGCGAGCGGTCGGCACCCCAAAATCCGAAATTGATGTTGGACCAATGTCTGTGGATTCCATTTCGGCAAGATGCCAGTCGCCGGCGCCGCCCGGAAGGTTGCCGCAGACACCAGGTGCTCAGCGCGCTGGCAGACGGCAGCGGTCTATTGTGAGCGCCAGTGCGGCTTGGCTTCTGGATTGTGAGTCTGCTCAGGCTGGCGCAGGGATCGACCTCGGC